TAGCTTTCAACAAAGTCAGTTTGTTTGAAGGATGCTCAGGGAGAGGTTCATCGCAAAATGGGCACAAGTTTTTCTTCAAGTTCTGATTCTGATTCAGAGGATGAATTGCCTTCATCTTGCTCTGATTCAACATAGTTCTCGAGTTCGGACTCTGAAGAAGTTTCTGTAAGATTTTCAGAGACGTCTGATTCCAAAACCGAGGTCTTGAGAATGTGTGAGGCGTCTGAATCGGAAGTTGATGGCTTGAGAAGAGCTTTCTTGGTTTTGGCAACTTTGCCGCGTTTTGAATGAGAGGCAGAGGGGGTAGGAGCACTGGATTGAACCTGCGACAGCCGAAGGGGGCATGTGGTGATTTTGTGACCTCCAGTTGAACAAAAGCTACATTTCCCAACACGAGGTTTCTTAGCGGCTTCTTTGGCCTCAAATGATGATATCCATCGGCCTTGTTGAGATTCAGCCGGTCTTTTCTGATTAGCTTTTGGGCGTCCTCGGTTGTTTAGTTTGACTTCGGCGTTCAGGATGGGCACCAGGGAATAACGACTAGATTTGAGTAGGGACAACTCGGAAAACACTTTACAAAGTGTGTGTTCAGGAAGTTGCAAAAGGAGATTGAACTTGGATCTTGCAGCAGCAATTAAGGCTTCGTGGTTGGCGGGTGGAACATCCATGTCAAGCTTCCATTGTGAATGAATTGAATCGGGAGATATATAATCGTGGTTGTCTCGAGCAATTGCCAGTTCGTGAGAACACGGAATGCCCCAAGAGCCTCGAAACGTGTGAGAGCAAGTTGAGTTGAGCGAGTCTGGTAATAATTCGTATTGAGACTTCAATTTCTTGAGTGCAAAGTGAGATACTACTCCATTTAATTGTTTGAAGAAAACTGGAACTCCTTCAAGGGTTTTGGTCCTTTCAATTCCTACCAATACGTTGATCTCTGTCATTTGATGGTCCTCGAATCGCATAAAAGACTGAAAACAAGTGACAAAGTCATTGTTCCGCCCGTCGAGGAATCGTTTAGCACAATAGTGACTTCCTTTGACACGAGAAGTAGACGAGTTACCGAAATGAGGGGTTTTTGAAGTGAATAGAGTTACAAACTTTTCTGTGCGATTCAGCCAAGTATTTTCAAGGTAGCTGAATACATTATGAGCTTTGCCAATCTTAGCCACGGCTTCGAGGTTGGCATCGTACTCTTCAGTTGTTTTGGAGGCAACAAACGCATTCCAGACCTTCATAAAAGCAGTCCATTTGGGTTCTGTAAATTTACTTTTACAGTTTTTCGCTATGTTTGTGTTGATATGCCAGACACACAAGATGTGTGCTGCCTCAGGAAAAACCGTACCGATAGCGTTGATGAGAGCCTGTTCTGCGTCAGTCGAAAAAGTTTTGGGTAACTCGACTGTTGAGTTTTCGTCTTCATTCTGAAATATTATCTCCTTCAACTGAGTCAAGGCCCATTCATATTGAGGTTCCTTCTCACTACTCATGAAACACATGGCCACAGTGAATGACTTGTGAGTGTTTGTTGTCCCAACAATATGTAACAGAGGTAGATTAAATCGATTTGTTTTGTAGGTGCAGTCCAGACTGAGGACGGTAGGAAATCTGCGAGCTAGACGAATCGCCGAGGGACTGGCAAAAAATAAATTTTGAAGTGTTCCATCCGCTGAGGTGAGTGTACGATGCGCCCAATGACTAGCGGATATGAGATCAAAAAGTCCCTGGACTGGAGTGCGTCCATTAAGCCACTTATCCCGAAACCAAGCTCGTACATTGTGTATGTCGCGGAGAAGTGGACGAGATCCTGGATCAACGTCGATCAAATTTTGGATTTGACCAGCTCGGCAGCCAGTAGATGATAAAAGATTGATCTTATGAAGCGTTTCGGGTGGGAAGCGACGATAGATGGCTAAGTTGTGGGGTTCGTCAAAGGGAGGGTGGTTGTGACCGTGTTTGCTTGTATCATTGTGATCGTGGGTTACAACCCATCAGTCAACACGTTGGCGGTAGTTGAGTGAAACTTCAAATAGACATCCGGTTTTCTTCGAAGAGGTTGTACGTTTGGTTGCTTTTGATTTGACTCGGTTGCCAAGTGCACATCTGAGATAGATTCGAATTGTGTGATTATGTTTGGTCTTGTGACTCTTGATAGCCAAAGCGTAACCTTGATGTCGCGCGACGGCATTCAGATACATGACTCCATTCTCCATTTCAATGAAGTTCTTCCCGATTTTGGGTGATAGAAGCAAGCGAACGGGTGTTTGACCTGCAAGGCATTCAAAATATGTCATGTCAGTATTTTGAACTAAGTTTTCGATGGTATGATTATAAGAGACTGGTTCAACATACCAATGGCAGGCCAGTCGTCGTCTCTCTCAGTAGGATTTTGAGCTAAAGGATCCGCATCGTCTTCTGCGTTGTTAATAATAAGTGTAGGTTGTGTAATAGCAATTTGATTCGGGTTGTGGTTGTTTGCATCAATGACCGGAATGTTGTTTGAAGTCACAACTGGTGCGATTGTAGGAGTAGGATTTGGGTAATTTGTATTGTTGTTTGGGGTCAAGACTGATGGATTGATGGAAGATTTGGTGGTTGAATTGACTAACATAGAAGAATCGGTTGAATCTGAGGTACTAGCAGAAGCAGAGTTAATGGGGCTGTTCAAGTTAATCGAGGGACTGGCTTCTTCGAGAGTTGAAATACGTTGACCACTGAAGTTGTGTGACTTGACAGGAGGGTAGTTATGGGATGACGATACATTTAAAGATGGCATTTGGGGATATGCAGTTTGGTGCCACTGAGGCTCGAAACAATGGGGTCCAGGATGATGTGACGGAGCAGTAATGGGATGATACATGAAGGGAGTGTTCGCATCATGCGGAGCTGTTAGTTGATTAACATCTCCATGCGCAAACATCGAGCGATGATAAGGAAACGGTGGATAAGGGATTCCGGGAGGAGGGTACCAATAGGAATTGGGGAATTGATGGTGAGGGTGAGGTTGAGCGTTTGTATAACTACTTGGAGGTGGTATAAATGGGGGAATGTTGATCAAGGACGGGTGATGTTGTGTGGGGTAGGGATTAATGGGATGGTTGTTAAACGGGTGATCCACTCCCGAAGTTGAATTTTTCGGAAGTGGGGGAGGTGGGGTTTGGTTGGACATGTCAGAGTTTCAACCCTTGACGTACCGTGCAAGGTGCTTTGATGTTGTATACGTGTGGTATTACAGCTGTTTCAAAAACAAAACTGGTTGTCGTTTTTTTTTTTTTTTTCATATCCGCGGTTTTGAATCTAGCAGAAAAACCGCGCAAAAGGCTGATGACAGCTGATTACGTGGCATGAGGTTCAATCCTGTTGGACCCTGTTGAATCACATTGCAAGCTTGAAGCCAGCGCCACGTTTGTCCACAACACAATTGAGCCATCCTCAACATGCCTGCTGATCGGAATTCACGGCCTTTTCAAAGTTTCAATCAATCACTCCCATATCAAAGAACCACTAATTTCAACACAGCTCAACAGTCTCGTGGTTCTTATAGCGGTACATCCTCAAGCTTCTTCCACCCGGCTCAAGATTTGACTCAAGAAGCACCAATCCTACATGCACCGGGGCATTTTCCTTATCAACGTTTCAGCCAAACTGGCCCAATCACATTTCCAACATCACAACCATCAACCTCTATTTCTTCCTATCCACAGAGATCAAGTCGGCCATGAATTCACGTTCTTGATCTGAGAATACGAGGGGACGACCACGTTTCTCATATTCTGATGCACTGCGAACCACGGCTAGAGTTGATTCGTATAGTTTTTGCCATTGGGTGAGGGTGTCCACATGTACTGCAGATCGCAGATGGCGTTTGACGGCTGCTCGACTCATACCTTCGGACAATAAAGTAATCGCCTGCACTTTGATGTCGGCGCTGTATCGAGGCATTCTTGTTGTTTTTGTTTCGTGAGATGTGGTGAGGTGGATCTGGCAAGATGGGGGCTTGGACAAGGTGCATGCGAATAGAATTTGGATACATATTTGCTCCCGATTGGGAGAATTAGCCCAATCAGGTCAAATAAATTGACCGCGGATATGAAAAAAAAAAGAAAAAAACAACGACAACCAGTTTTGTTTTCGAAACAGCTGTAGTTGAGTTGAAGGAAGGTTGATGCCTTGTTGATTTGAAGTAAACACAAAGTTTGAGTGAAGATGAAGAGATCAAGGACACAGTTGAAGAAGGGGGGAAGGGGAAATTGGAAGAGCAGTGCTACCTCACTCGCCTGTTCATGTCTGTGCGTGATTTCCGTGCGTCCGGATTGAGGTAAGTGTCAAACTGTTGATGGATGGATGGATGGATGCTGTAGCCCCCCTTTGGTGCCCCTTTCTTACCAAAGGGGTACCAAAGCGGGCAAACAGTGGTAAACAGGGCTATTGTTTGGGAAGGTGCCCTCAAAAGTAGCCCAAAGGGGCTGCATTATGGGAAGGTACCCTTGTGTGTAGCCCTCAGGTAGCCCCCAAGGTCTGAGTCTGCTAATTTCTGGCGTGTGATGTTCGGGTTTCCATCGGGTCAGTTGGGTATGCCCCAAATACAGGGGGGCTACGGGTCATCGCTAGGGGGGCTCAAAATAGTGGAATCCATGAAAAATGCAATTTCATCTTTATCACGATTGCCATCAAATGAAGAAATAGCAAAAATAGATTTGAATTTATTAAAACCTAACGAATCAATCCCGATTGTACAAACGTCAATCAAAGTTGTAGAAAATGGTTTTACTTTTAAAGAAGGTGCATCAACAGGATCTGATAGCAATGTTGGACTGACTCCATTTTTCGAGAAAAATATCAAAGAACTTAAATTACCAGTACCACTAACTATTTTTAATGAAGATTGGCAAGAAGAGGCCTGGCAATATCATGCGGAAAAGAAAGTAAAAAGCAATGACTCAACTAAGGCTCAGAATCTTTATTCAGGATTGCCATATCCCCATGAATTCTCACAAACCTACATGACTTGGACGATCAATTATCAAAATTTCATCAAAGCAATTTGTTATAAATTTAAATATGTGAAGCTAGCTGAATGGTTGGAATTGCATAAAGAAAACGTTGAAAGCATCAGAGAGACTGAATGCTTGATGGTCGCGTTTAGATACGATTTGAAGATTTGATCGTTATTATTTACTGAAAAGGTGGTTTATGAAGATGGAACAAACGGTCCTATCAACATATCAAAATTAAGAAATGACATTAAAGAAATTTGTTTTGCAAAGGCTAGGAAATGTGATGAATTAACTTTTAAAGACAATCCATATGCAGAAGGAGGTGAAAGGCTCGATTGGGACCACAACACCGGTGCGCCTAAGAGTAGACAATCAATATCAAGAAATTCTTCCTTTAATAGTAATTCTAGTTATAATCAAAACAACAACAATTATATGAACCAATCTGGAAGTAAAGTTTTCCAAAATTCTTACAACAAACAACCACAATCAAATTCAAATCCAAATGTACAATTTGATGGGAAGAAGAGAAAAGGATATCATGGAAACCACTTTGATCCTAATTATGTAAGGAAAGCTAAAGGGGTGGAAGGACCTACCGCGAGCACTAGCAAACAGTAGGTTTATAATCTTTTAAGATTATTCGCTTAGTTTTTCAATTCTCCTTTTCCTTTCCAGAGACATTGATAAGAAAACTGTACAATTTTATCTTGCCTCTCTATGTATCCTGATCAATCGCATTGTGTATCTCTAGATTTTTGTGGATTGAGAATGATTCTAATTTGTTTTGAAATTTATGTTTTGATTTGTTTGTGAATGATTAGTGCCAATGATAGAAACAATGTACAAGTTGAATTTAATAGAATAATTTCAAACCGAATGCCCCAAAAGAGAGTTTCAAAAATTGAGATCATACCAAAGAAATGGCCGACTGAAATTAAGTGTGAGATGAATATAGATGAGTGGAGGAAAGCGCTTAGAAAGGCTAGCTTAATAGACAAATTCAAGGATGTTTTACATGGTTTCGAATTCGGATTCGATCAAGGCATACCTCAGCATCGGGTTTTAGATCTGCCTTTCTACACTCCGAACAATCATTCATCTTCAGAATTAGCGGCAGAAAAAATTCTTAAAAGTATGAAACAAGAAATCGAAAAGAAGAGGATGTTTGGACCATACACTCATGAGGAGGTAATGAAGGTGTTCTTGTTCTTTAGAACAAACCCTTTGGGAGCTGTAGTTAATGGAGACGGGTCAACCAGACCCATTAACGACTTATCCTATCCTAGGAACGACCCTCAAATTCGTTCTGTCAATTCTTTTGTCAACGCTGAAGATTTTAAAACAACGTGGGATGATTTTAACAAAGTTGCAAAACTCTTCAAACTGTCAAAAGAACTATTTTTACTCGCCTTGTTCCATTGGGAAAAGGCTAACCCTAAGATCCCAACCTTGATGGAACAATGGAAATACTTGATGGTTTTAAGCACAACTGGTGAAATATTCCTAGATACTAGGATTACTTTTGGAGGAGTTGCAGGTTGTGGATCTTTTGGTAGACCAGCAGATGCTTGGAAAAGAATCATGATTTCGGAATTTGATTTAGTAACAGTATTTCGTTGGGTTGATGACAACCTATTTGTAAAAAGGTTAGGATCGTCAACAGATATGATGGATATAGTCAAACGATCACAGCAACTAGGTGTCTTAACAAACGAGAAGAAATGCTCCAAGTTCCAGTACAAACAGAAATTTATCGGATTTGTCTGGGACGGATTTCATAAGACCGTCAAGCTAACAGAAGAAAAACTGGCTATACAGATCGCACAAATTGAAGAATTCCTTGCGCCAAATGCAACATGGAACTACAATCAGGTTGATGTTGTTGTAGGGAGGCTGTGTCACGTGTCATATCTTCTACCACAATTGAAATGTTATCTTTGTAGTTTGTATGGATGGAAAGCGAGATGGGTTCATCATCAGGCGAAGCAACATCTACCTGAGGATGTGTTGGAAGACGTATCCTTTTGGCTGTCGACGCTGAAATCTTTTAAGAATTTACGATTGATCGCAACACCAGACCCAATCGAGATAAATTGGGTAGGGGATGCCTCGGATTGGGGCATCGGAGTTCTGATTGGTGTTAAATGGATCCAGTTCGAAGCCGATGAAAACTGGAGAAACTCAGGCAAACACCCTAGAACGATTGCTTGGTTGGAAACCGTCGCAATACAATTAGGACTCCTGATGGCAATGAAATTAGGTTATGGTAGAGGAAAGAATTTGATCGTTTGGACAGATAATACGACCAGTCAAGCCGCAGTAACCAAAAGGAAATCAAGAGATAAAGAGGTTAACGCTGAGTGGAAAATTATACAGCAAATCTTGATTGATCATCAAATAGACCTTGATCTGAGAAGAGTTGTCTCTGAAGATAACTTGTCTGATAAGCTATCTAGAGGCAGTAGGGATATCGAACTCCCAGATGGGAGCGTTAAGAAACACGACTTAAAAGATCTTGTGACACTTGACATGCCCGAGGATTTGTTAGGCATTTTATTTCCTGTGGTCACACCCTGATGTTTCAGCTTTGGTGATTTGTAGTTTGCTCTCATCGCTTCTATTTGTTTAGGACATATCCATTCGACGTCTTTCTTGCTTCAGTTTAGATAGATTACGTAATCTGTATTCTTAGCAACTTTTTCTTTTTGGAGATTAGCTGAGCATGGAAATGAAATATTTAATATTGGTCTTGACGCGACGCTGACCTGAAGTAGGCCTGATACAGTTGTGAGACAAGTACCAACGTTTTAATCATTTGTTTCGGCTTTCCCACAGAGTCACTACTTCACTCAAGAATAGGAATCATCGCCTTCACAATACGACATGTCTTCATCAATCCGTTTAGAAACCGTGGCAGCTTTCTTGTCCGGAGTTCATCCGCCCTCTTACCCCAGTTCGCTCCAGCTACACCTGTTGCACGGTTGGAAGATCAGCACTTTACGAAGCTATAACGGAGCCGTGAAGAAGTTCTATACCTTCTAGAACAAATCAAACTCTAGGCCCTTTAGTTTGTCTGCGACCCCAAATGACATCTACTGGTTTTGCTGGTGGGCCGGACGAGTAGACGGTGAACTCACCAATCACGACATCTCGTCGAAAACTTTGGCCAACTACCTTTCGGGATTGAAGGCCTGGCATCTATATCATGACCTGCCTTACCCTCATACTACCACAGAGAGGGTAGCAGTCATGTTACGAGCGTCCGCACGCGCTGACTCCCTCGTACCTCAGAAACCGGCCAAACCGGCTGTCATGTTGGAACACATCCTGATGTTGTATATGAAATTGGCGAACGGGTCACGGGCAGACTCTGCCGTTCTAGACGTAGCAATCTGCGCATTTTGGGGTCTCGCTCGTTTGGGAGAGCTGACTTATGACTTCCGCGTCGGCAAGCCTGCCTGGCTTAACTCGGTACTCTGTACTGACATTTTGCAGTCACCGTCAACACAAGGAACCATCACACTAGCGGTGCGCGGAGCGAAGACAGCGAAGGCCGGCCAACCACAACCCATCCTGTTGAACGCGCAGCCAAACATGCTCTGTCTGGTGGCGGCCATACATCGAAGATTAGCATCAGCTGTTGAACCGAGCAACTCCCTCTTTGGCTATTTTGAAGGCGACGTCCGTATTAACCTCACAAGGACTGCCGTTGTTCGGAGATGTAAGCAGATATGGGACGCTGAAGGTCTCACAACTTTATCGGGTCACTCGTTTCGCGTTGGAGGCGCGTCTTTGAGAAACGCCCTGGGCGTGGATCATTCCGACATCCAACGTTTAGGCCGCTGGACATCCGATTGTTACCTGATATATCTCAGGGAATATTCGGCTGAGGAGTTGCGACGCGCATCCTCAATCATCTCTTTGATCAACAATTCTCGTTGAACAGATGTACGCTGCGGGTACTAAGAGTACGTCCTTTCGTCAGTGTCTTTCACACAGTGCGGGGGTTCGCGCGAGGCTCAGGCTTTGCGAAAACACTGAGTGTTGGGCTAAGCGCTAACCCCCTTCTGTGCTTAAGTCCCCGTCGTCTGTGACGCACTCTGATGTCAGTACCTTTCATTTTTCGTCTCCAATTTTAGGAAACTCTGGATCCCACTCTCGTTTACCAGGATCCTATGGCGGTGCTCAGATATGTCGATGACTACCTCTCCCTGGAGGTTTCACAAACCCTGGCTACCCCCTCTCCGAGTTTTGTCCTAGAGACGCCGAATGATAGGCACCTCCCCCCATACACGTGATCTACTGTTCACGCGTACATCTTAGTGTAAAACAGTCTTAATTGTAACAAAAGATAGTTACCCATAATTAGTAGTAAAATGCAATTCAATTATGATTCCTTTTGTTCAAACTTCCTAGAGCTTCGAAATGAAGCTCACACGTCCAAAGCCCAGCGCCACTCAAGACCCAACAAGGGATTTTTTTTTTTTTTTTTTTTTTTTTTTATATTGCTTTAAGTGTCATTAGAGCCGTTAGGCTATTAGACACTGCATATATTTCCAGCACCGGTAAAACCCCCTCTGGCTGTGTCAGGGGGAAAGGTTGCTGTTGGCTGTTTCATCTAGTATACAATATGTAATGGAGTAACAATTTTTAGCGCTAAAGGATGGTGATTGAGAGATTATTCTCTCGGTGGTTGCCTGCCTGGAGGCAGAGGTTCATCTGTGATTGTGGCCCAATTCCAGCGGCTTTTAAACCGCCAGGTGTTATTGCAGTACTCTGCAATGGCTTTGAAAGCTACGGGTTTGTTGAGTATTGATGTATTGAGTTGTAATTCTAGGGCTTTGAGGTCTTGTTCTAGTTTCTTGCGCTCATTGTTGAATCTGTTGCATATAAGTAAATAATGCTCGACTGTTTCAATACCTTCTTGGCAATCGCAGCTTGGGTCTTGTGCCTGTGCAAATTTGGAGAGATAGTGGTTCAGGTGGACGTGCCCTGACCTGAGCTGTGTGATAATTCCTATTGAGTGTTTTTGAAGTTCTGTGATATGTTGTAGGTGAGATTTTTGTTGTGGTTTGTGACCTAGTCGCTTTAGGTCGTTGGGGTCGGTGATCTCTGAGTTTTTTGTTTGCCATTCTTTGATGGCTGATATAAAGCTTTGATGCGTTGGGGGTAACTCGGAAAGTGCTTGGTAGTTTTGTTTTTGCTTTCTTGTTGGCGATTTGGTCTACTCGTTCGTTGCCGTAACACCCGCGTGACCTGGGCACCAGCGGATATTTACGCGCATGTTGGGGAAGGCTGCAAATAAGTAATTCAGACGTTTGTAAGTTTCTTTTCTATCCTCAAGGGAGGTGATGGGGAGCTTGTTAGAGCGTAGGTCTTTGATAACCCCTTGGTTATCAAGTAGAATAGTTGTCCGCCTTGTGTGTATCGAGGCAGTGCTTAAGGCGATGGATAGTCCCATTTGGACTCCTTTGTATTCAGCTTGGTAGATGCCATGGGTCCTCGCGGGTCCTAGGTGTTCGGCGTGTGATTTGTTGGTGTTTTTGCACCAGGCAGCGGCTGCCGTAGTGCGTTTTGGGATCCTGGAGCCGTCTGTAAAGATGACAACGTGTTCAATCGTGGCGGTGAGTTTGTTGGCTTCAATCTTTGCTGTTGTTTCATTCTCTTGAATGATGGTCGAGTAATTTGTTGGACGTGTCAATATGTCGCTAGGGTCGAGTGGGATCTGAAGAATGAATTCCTCCAGTTCTTTGCTGATGGTGTGTTGAAAGAACCGATGAAACGGGTTATGGTGGCATTTTGGGTTGGAATTTTGTGCCTGTTTGACGAAATCGTGAATGGGGGAATGAGAGGGCTTTGTCAGTGCATTCGCCATGAAGTTCATGATCTTGCTTTGAAGCCTGATTTTTGTTGGCGTGAGATTAGCATCATGCGTTAAGAAGACGGTCGGGGTTGTTGGTAGTGCTCCCAACGCTGCCCGTGCGCATATGTTGTCAATGGTTGTCAGGTCTTTGGTGAAGTATTGTGGCGGTTCAAACGGCAGCCAAGCGGCTAGTCCGTAGTCGAGTGCTGTGTGTATAGTTGTGGTGATGAGCGTGTGCATGAGCTTTGGAGATATACCCCACTCAGACTTCGAGAGCGTGGTTAAGAAACCGGCTTGTTGGCGTCCTTTTGCAATGACGGCTCGCCTGTGTTGGGAAAAGGAAAGTTTATCATCAATGATAATACCCAGCCATTTAGCTTTTTTCTCTGGTGAGATGTTTCTTCGGTCAACAAAGCTAATAGTAGGGGGATCTTCTACTTCCTTTGGGCTGAATATTATCCAAAAAGTTTTCTTGACATTGAAAATGGCTCCGTGGTCTTGTGCCCAGACGTTCTGTCGGTACGCTAGCATTTGCATTTGAGACTTCAGTTGGTGTTTGTCGTTTGCCGTGGTCAGAAGGACTACGTCGTCGATGAATCCTAGTGCTGTGGCGTTATCAATATTGTCAGTAATCTCTAGTAGTCCATTGTTGTACAATAAATAGAGAAGAGGCGATAGTGGTGATCCCTGCGGTAGGCCGTGGGTGAGTTCAAAAGGTTTTGAGTCGAAACCGTTGAAGGAGAGGGTTGTTGTGCGGTTTTCGAGGAAGTTGTGGAGTAAGTTGATGGTCTGGCTATGGAAGCCCTTTTTCTCGAGGATGGTCATTAACCTGGGGTGGTGGACAGAAGGGAATGCGGATTTCACGTCAGCAAAAAGCGCACCCACTACTTTACCTTTTGTCCACTCTTTTTTGATCCATGAGACTAGGTGTGTTAACACTTCATGGCCTGATTTATTGGGTCGTCCACCATAGTGGCCTTCGTGGAGTAGCCTCTTCTTTTCTACCTGTTCAGAGAGGTGTTTTGTGAGTAATTTTTCGTAGAGCTTACTTAACGTGAGCAGTAAGGCAATTGGTCTGTAAGCTGATGCTGCCGTGTAGTCGGGTTTGCCTGGTTTGGGGAGCATAACGGTGCGTGCTTGTTTCCATGCTGCAGGTATTAGGCCGGTCTCTGTGATTTGTAGGAAAAGGATTCTAATGTGATTTTTAGCTTTCACCCAAATTCTTTTCCATACCCAGTTTGGTATCAAATCTGCTCCTGGCGCTTTGAGTGGTGGAACACTCATCACTACTGATTTAATGTTTTTGTCCGTGAGGTAGCTGAAGAAGTCGGGCATGGTCGGTTCTGTGAGGCGAGATGTTGTTTCTACCGGGAATTGGATTTTCTCCGATTCCTGGATCCTGCACGGCGCGGTGGCCACGCAAGTTGTTCGAAAGAGTATCTCTGCCTTCTCTTCATTGGTTGAGCAGATCTCTCCTGAGTTTGATATCAAGGTTTTGACTAGCGATGATGGTTGTCTACCTGAAGCAAACTTTTTTGCCTGAAAAAGTGTCTCATGTGTCAGTGTGGAGAGATACGTTTTCCAGCTGTCCTCTTTCATTTTGTCTACTGTTTTGTTGAAAAGATTCCTGGCCTTTCTATATTCTTGTTTGTTTTCGTCCGTTTTTTCTGTTTTGAATTGTCGGTGTAGGCGTTTTGCATCTTTTCTCAGTGGGTCGAGGATTTCGGGCCTCCACCAGTGTTTGTGTTTGCCTGGTGGGGGCCTGTTGGGTGAGTTGTTGTTTAGAGCCGTTATTATGGCTTCTCGTAAGTTTGTGTCGAATGTGTTGATTTCTTCTTGGGTTGTTAGTTTCTCTATTTTTGGGAGAGTCATGGTTAGTTTGTTAAGCAGGTCAGGTGTAGCCACCTTGTTCCAGTTTTTCCTGCGCTGTGGTTGCTGATTGTTAATTTTTTGGTCGTGATTTTTTGTCGTGAAGGAGGTGATAATGGACTGGTGATCCGAGAAATGATTTGTATGGTCATCTGTATCAATAAAGCATGTTTGGATGACATCGTCGAGTTGTTCATTAACCCAGACGAGATCAATGGTCCTTTTGTGGTGGTCGAGTTTAAGCCGTAAGTTGGTTCGCCTATTGGGGATCTTAGGCTGAGGTCCCATTTGGACATCATTTCAATAAGATCGTCAGCTGATTTGTCATTAGTTGTGCTGTGCAGGGGATTCCAGACTGGGGAGTGGAGATTCGCGTCGGTAACTACAATTGTTGGGAGTAGTTGTAGTTCTAGGGGTAGGCCTCGCATCATCTCGTCCCATGCTTGGAATCCGGAAAATGTGTTTGGTGCATTGTATACATTTGAGATGAGTAAAGTGAAGTTATCAATAGTTATGGTGCACGCTGATATGTCGCGTGAAGGTGTGGTGATTGGATTGAGGGCCGCTTGGAGGTCACGTCTTATATAAATGCATGATCTTGGCCGTGATTGTTCGTTTAGTGCTGCGGGTGTGGGGCTGATTAATGTCCAGTTGGTTTGATTTGGCGGTAGGTAGTCTTTTTTATTTACATGGGGTTCCTGAAGTGCTATGATGGAGAATTCATTAGTAAGATTATGGTTCAATAGGGAGTGGATTACATTTTGTGAGCAATGGCAGTTCAATTGAAGTATTGCTGATGTGTCTTTTGATGTTATAATTTCGCGCAGACGTTGTTCTATCATTTAGATAGGTTCATGTCGTTGCTTTCTAAGATTACGATCTTGGGTGATCCGCTAGGGTTGTGTGGTGGGAGGCTTTCTGCTATCCTCGTGGGGCAGGATGGGCTGAATGGGTGGTGTATGATGTCGGCCGGGTTTGAAGCAAAGAAAGCTTTGAGGTTAGTGTTAGGTTCAAGCATAACTTTCTTTCTAGCACAAGCCGTGCATTTCATCTCAGTCTTCCCCTTTTGGGGGCACGTGTGTGAATGATGTTTGTCCCCGCAGAAGGGGCAGATGGGATCATTTGGGCATGAAGGCGCTGTGTGTCCTGGCTTTTGACAATTGTAGCATCGTCTCGGAGGTGGACCACTCCTGAGGGTGAGGTGCTTACCGCGCCCATGCCATATCTTGTCGGTGATACATCGTTTTACCTGTTCTTCGGTTTTTAAACCTATTAAGATTGATGAGTGCCTTTTATTAGGGTCTTCTAAGGCTTTGGGATTGAGCCATCTGACAAAAAGCATATCTTTGAGGAGGTCTCCATTACATATTTGGAGTTCTTTGCGGTGATCTTCAATGTTCGGATCAAACGTTGTGGGTATGCCATTTACGATAATTTCATGACGTTCTTCTTTCATTTTGAGCGTTCTGGAGAAGCCCTGTACCCATGTGCGGGGGAGTTCTTTTACCTTGGATGCGTGAGCAGCGGTCTCAAAGATGATATCAATGTCATTCGACGGGTGTCGTCGTACACTTTTGATTTCAATAGTCGATTCTTCGTCCGGCTTCATCTTGATGTTATACGCTTTGAACGCTACAGTAAGCGCTTGAATGAGCTTGGCATTGGAAAGGCCTGGATGTGTGATCTCTGATCCAGGCTCATGGACCAACGTTATAATGTTGGTTGCTTTGGGTTTTGGTGCCATCTTTGGCGCTTGTGGTTTAGCCGAGTTGGTTTTTTGGCTGGTTGCTGTGTTTTGTGGGGCATGTTTTGACGCCGCGAGCGCATAAGAAGGGATTGTGGGTCCTTTCTTTTGTTGCAGACTTTCTACTGCCGATGTGAGGAGCGCCATTTGCTCTGAAAGCGCCTCCAGTTTGTCATCTGTAGCTTTGCCCTTAAATATGATGGGACGGCTCTTCTGATCAGAACCGGTGAGCGCATCCGGCGTGGTAAAGTTACGTCGAGCATCCTCGAACATAACTTGATCGTAGACAGCTCCTGTTAATACCAGGATGTCTGCCGCCGTTCCGACATCAATCAATGTCTTCTGGGCCTGTTTTGACTTGTTCGCAAGCGGTAAACCGGCTTTAGCGACTTCCAGGAGCTTACTAACCAGCTCCTTGAGAGTTCGGTTTTCTGCTCCGCCTGGGAAAAGATTCTGCATGCGGTTCGTCCTAGGACTCCCCGTTAACTCAGACGCTTGGTCTGCTGCGATTGTGCCAGGCGTGTCCGTCCTGGATCTCTTCTTGGCGAAGTTTCCTAAGTCCGATGATTGGATGGAGAGTGTTTGAGATACGTTTTGACAGACACTAGCTTTGGTAGCTTTGTCAAAAACGAGAGGGGGGATAGTCGATCTAGGCTGTTCCTGGCGACCAACTGGGTTGATAAACGCGTTGGACGCGTCGCGAGTTGCAGAAATGTTCTTTGGAACTTTCTGCTTCTCTTGGCCCGTATCCGACACGTCGTCGACCTCCATGACGGTAGTTATCGCGTGAAAAAGGCGATTCGAGAGTGCGAAAAAAGTTAGGAGAATGAGATTTTGAAATTTGGACGAGTACTTGCGCAGTCACGGACCGGGTCACGTGACTAGTTGCTAATTCGTGGTAAAAGACAGAATCCTTCGGGGGAATGGAGCTTAACAAACCCCCTCACCAGCGCGTTCGCCGCGCCCTCCCTCCGGGGTTGAGGGTCCCGAACTCCTGCGGTATGGAAATTGGCCAGTTGGGGTTTGTGTTAAGCGAGATGGTATGTGAATATGTGTGTAAGTACAACAACAAAACAACCGAACAAAGTCCTTCCCCACTGGCCACGATGGCAGAGTCTGACAGATATTTCACTGATTCCTTAAGCTTAACTAAGCCCCTCTCCCGCGGCTGCGTCCGCGACCTCGGAGAGGGGCTTATCGCAGAGACGCGATTTTCGGCGGAGGACTTCCAAGAATTAAGTACTGTTAAGTACTTTCTTCAACTTGCCCTCAACACCTCTCCACAAAAAGTCCCAGATACCTTGTATGTTGTTCTTCAAAGAGTTCTACATATTTTGGTACTATTTTCAACACAAACAGACTTGGTTTGCCATTGATGGAGCCATGACCAATTGTGGTCGTTATGTATTCCTGTAACAGCCTAAGATTGGGTGTACAGGCGGCCAATCAGATTTGGTCGATTTGTTCTTGGACAATTCGAGACTAATCCAAAACCTGGGTCAAAAGGGTTATGACCTAGGGGCTGTAGGCCTTAGATATCCTAGAGCAGTAAGTGTTAGGGTGGGCGACCTTTCCAAAGACCCGTCATTCTCGCGCAACACTTTGATTTCACCCAACTACGTCATGATCACTCGCTCTCAAGGAGCCATATTGCCACCTTCGCCTCATGTTGGAAAGACCTCAGATTCCTCTCCAGCTACCACCAAAGCAACTCTTAAAGGAATCCGACCATCAATCTCAAAGTTATTACTGAAGGACAACGATGAAGAGCTGCGTGAAGTCATACTTGAATTATTTTACAACAAATATAACGTTATTGCTCGAATGCTCCAAGTGGACGCGACAATCAGTCTAGTTCGAAATCGGGACGTATTTCTCCTTGCAAGTACCGGCTACGGGAAGTCTCGTATACCGGAATTGTTCTTTTTGATGTTTACCAAAGCCTGCGCTCCAATCATCTTGACTTTGAATCCTTTGGACGCCCTCGGGGACAATCAAGTAAGTTATACTCCTAATATGTCTCTGTTTGCGATTTGACAAACTGTCCTCATTGCACAGGTTGAAGAAAAGGCTAGACATGGACTATCGGCAATCAATTTGACCCGGGCATCCTTCACTAAAATCGTGTACAAAGAAATTCTCGCAGGAAAATACCAATTTATTTATGTTGTAAGCCTTCAACATTTAGCCGATTGTGATGTGGTGAAGGTATAGCTAACATATTCTGTTTTTTGTTTGATAGTCACCTGAGATTTTTTTGAATAACACTCATTTCGAGCGTCTCTACTTTTCGAAAGCGTTTCAGACCCGCCTGGTCCTCAAGGTAGTCGACGAGGCTCACCTCATCTACTGTTGGGGCCTTGCCTCGAGTGGCCGCATCAAGAATCTTCGATGCTTTCAAATTTTGCAAGATCGCACCGCTTTTCGGCCATCTTACGGTAATCTGATCGAGCGATTCCTAGCCACCGAATCAGTCCCGACTCTGCTAATGTCAGCAACGTGTCCACCTCGCCATTTCGAACAGATCCTGGCAAGTCTCAAAATATCCAGAGATGACATAGACATCCATCGAGGCGAGCTTGTTCGCCCCAAAATACGTTTCATCCGGGTCTCTAACAGACACGGTACTTCATCAATGGACTTGCTCAAGAAATTTTTCGCACCATCTTCTGTAATAGGTGACTCAGAGCTAGTACCTAGCCTTGTCTACTGTCATACTCAAAACGACACGTATCTAGCTCTAAAAGCAATCAACTCAGCTCGTAACATCCCAAGTGAATCTCGCAATGGCTTGAGTTCATCGGTCTGGCGATATCACGCTTCAACCTGCCCGATTGACAAGGCTCGTCGTGCTCTCGACTTTGGAAACGGCAAGTTCTTGATAATGACCTGTACAAACGCCTTAGGTTTAGGACAAAATTGGACTCGTGTGAGAAGGGTCATCATTATGGGTCAGCTAGACCCGATGGAGTTATTGCAAATGGCTGGGCAAGGGGGTCGAGACAGACAACCATCGGTGGCTTTTCTAATAGTCAATCAACTCGCTCAGGCGGACAAGGATAGACTGATGGCTTTACCGCATCAGTCTCAGCAAGATAATGACCAGCATATGCATGCGATGAGCATCACTGACGTATGTTTACGAGTCGCGTTTGAGGTTCTTCTACGGTGAGTAGTTCGCACTTTGACTCATAATTTCTTACATTATAAATGTCTTATATTGAATTTCATTATAAATCTGACTCGACGTTGAACTAGATGTAACTACATCCCTGTGTCCAAAAGCGATCAAGCCGTTATTGCCGAAACTCAAAGGCAGGCAGATGCAGGCATGGCACCATGCCTCTGCTCGAACTGTGATCTGAATGCGGCAAATTTTTTCCTTGCTCAGCAAAAAAATTTGACCTCTACGAATTTTACTGAGTTGGTACTCAAGAAGGACGTTCCAGCCAATCAACCCGATTTCAAACTCGCCGCGGAGGATTTGAGTCCTCATGATTCATCACTCGAAACCCAAATGCGTCCGATTCGTGAGGATCATCCTCTATACCAAGACATACGGTGGATTCAATTGTACTTGCGCATTCAATCAAACCTGCAGGCGATATTTGACACTGAATATCCTAAAGATTCTTTCTATACTCTTGACGACCTATTCTCGCCAATCAAACTTTGGACTGTGTGCATCAACTACGATTTTGTTTTACAAGGACTACATTTGGATGATGTGTTTGGTAGCGAACCACTGCCAAACACATATGGTTCAATACTTCAAGACATTCGCGCGTGGAAGGCAAGTACTGACTCAATTGCCGTATTGCACCCTTCAGAAGCAGAGATGAGAATGTATAACGCAGCCAAGGCTCTCGCGAAGGAGAATGAATCAAAGAAGAACGATGCAAAAAAGAACCAATCCAAAAAGAACGGAAGTGTCATAGTTGCTCCACAAAATGACACTGAGATGGTAGCTCAGGTACTCGCTTGGCAGATCTGATCATATATATATATATATCATATTGCTAATGTTTGATTTTCTATTCACTTTTAATAATGGCTATGCAGGCTTCGACTGCATCAGGCGACCCCTTGACATCAAAAGGTACAAAGAGCAACAAGCGAAAACCACCTCCGTACCAAGGTAAAAAGGGGAAATCGCCGAAACGTAACAAAACGGCCTCTTAGGTATCCTCAGGCTCACCTGGCGATTCTTCACGACTCCCTTCTACATCCACCACCTGATCTCCTAAAGACCCCCATCGGTAACGAGAAACCTCCTTGTTTTTGCGGTCTTGTAGAATGTGCTCTTGTAATGTGTTGGTACCCGTTAAAACGGTATCGGTAAACTGACATTTGACGGTGGAAATTTTCGAAGTTATGTATTGATGATTCCAAGAGCGGATAAAGTTGGCGAGTGTCTGTTCTGATATTTGGTGGGAGTGATTCTGAAAAACCGGCTTAAGTCCGCTGCGAATTTTCAATTGTTGTATCAGCTGTCTTAGCTGAACATTGGGTGTTCAGCGTGGTAATGGAATAAATTGATTCATTAGTGTGAAAATGTAAAATCCGAGCAATGATTCACTGGAAAATGACATACAAATGTAATGTTGATTGACATAGCAATCAATTTTTCAATCTCTGTTCCATTACTCTGGGTTAGAATCCCATCAGTATTCATCCAAAGAGTAACTGGAAAAATACTGAACACTGGTCACTCACAGTTTGGTTGAAATAATGTTTGAGCCAAAAATTTTGGTACTCAAGCCAAAGATCATTTCCTACAAAGTGTCCTGGGCGCTGTCCAGATGGAATAAGAATACTGTGCAATATTACTTTTGCTAAAAGCGGAGGTAGGTCTTGTTCCACAAGGACAAGGAATCTTGTAAGATGTAAAGCATAACGCGGCAGGCCCTTCAAACCATGTGCCATCAAAGCCCACCGTTTCCACATGAGCTTCAACCTACCAATATCACCTGCATGTGTGGCACTATCTGCTTCAACCACCGTGGCAAAATCACGAATCCGTAGCCTCAAATTATACCCCAAACTGTCACCTTTAGTTTTACACGACTTCAAAGAACCAGGGCTGCAAAAATTGTCGTAACATTTATTGATCACTTCCTGGGCAACACCTTCTTTTGAAAGGTCAGGAGGACTTTCATATTTTGACATGGTCGAGCTATATGTAATAGTTACAAATAAATATTAACAAATAGTCCAAATCTCGATCTGACATAATTAAACAAATTTTGCTCACGTTAAACAAGATACCAAAGTTGCAAAGTGAACGGAGTGGAGAGCTTTCATAACTGTCCCAAAATCCATGTTACAAGGTAGTTTAGATTGAGCACCTTGCAATCCCCCCAAAGCCTGCCATGCTTTCCACGCCCCGGTGTCCTTAGAATCATGGGGATTACCCCAATGGTGAGATAGTATCCCTTGAGCGAGGTTCCACATGATATGGGATACACCGGGTATAGTCAAAACACTGCTGAGGGCCCCTACATCAGTACCGGCAGGACACCTTTTTTTTCGAAGACTCTCGATATTTTGACACGTTCCAAGGTCGCCTTGGACAATTCGAACCCATTTTGACATCGCTTCAAGAGTGAGGCCGCATTGAGATGCAATTTCGTCGAATACCTGCGCAACCCCGTCTGCCGAGTTGTCGGCCGCGTCCATGAGGCTCATCAGGAACAAATGATGATCGTCCACTGGAATCGGGTCAACTGGAGGTGGCCTTGTTGCTAGTTTGGGCGAAGGAGTTGTTCCAGGTTTAAGTATATATTTGTACATGACCGTGGCTAGCTGACATTTCAAAGTTGACTCCCACTGGGTCATATCGCTGGCTTGATCTCGTAATGTATCCAACCGAATCGGAGTATTCTGAGCTTCGGCTAGAGTTTCATGGTAGTTTTTAAGGTGAGTGCTGGCATTATCTTTCGAGATGTCTTTATCTAAGCATTTCGGTAAAAACTGAATATAGCCCAATGTCCCATGGAATAGATGGGACACAGTCTCTACACGGGTATTGTGAACCCTTTGTAATATATCGAAGTTGTCAATGCATATGATCGGGCTTATGCTATAAGACTGGGACATAATAGCTCGTAGAGAGGCCTCTCGCACGGTTCTGAGATGATTTAGAGCCCTTAATGCTGTATCGCGAGAACTGGACAGACCTAGAGTATTCAAGTATTGAAATACTCTATCAGACACTCCCGTCGCGATGAAAGTCAAAGCGTTGTGCAGCTGGAGCGCGTTATCCCGGTAATTAGACATGTACGAGATCATGCCGCATATTGTGGTCGCAACCTGAAGATATTTCAAACATAAGTTTGAGGACTGATGATAAATAGTGAATTAGAAAAAGTACTTGCTAGATTTGCTCGGTCTCTTTCGGCAATGTGTTTGTCTTCTGGTACATACAACATTTCCTCATCATGACGGGCTTCCCTCTCACCAATGGTTTCAACAGTAAGACCTGAATCATCAATCGGTTCTGTTTCTGGAATTTCCTCTTCCAACGTGTCCCAAACGTTGCTGCGCGACGCGCCGGCCATTAGAGCTACACGATTATTTGCTCGAAGAGACATTTGATGATACATAAGGTTCCACAAAAAGGGCATTGATTCCCTGATTTTTTTATCGCGCGCGTATAATTGACCAAGCTCAAAGAACTCGGTTGTGATCTTCTTTGAACTGTAAAAACTTCGAGGTTTGGACTCGATTTCGTGTTGAATCTGTTCCTGCGCCTATCACAACCACCATCAATAATAAATATATATGAGTAAAGACAAAAGAACGCGAAGAATGCTCACCTCAGTCAAAATGAATTTGCACCACGCAGCCCGGCCTTCCTCACTTTGGTGAGTGAGAGTCTTGATTGCACGCACAATCTGAAAAGTGGAATTTAGACCCCTTTCAATACCCCAGTATTGACGACTTTCTTTCAGAACTGGATTATCCGAACATAAAAAAGAGTAGAAGACCTCTTTAGCGTAGGTCTGATGTTGTTTTGCAGTAGTACATAGCTGCACGGCAATTGACTCGATGAAGGGACGCTGTCGAATGTTTCTTTCTTGCTCGATGGGAGGACGCAGGCTGTTTTCTTGATGTTGCATCTTTTCACAACGTTAAGTTCTGAAGGGCAGCCTCCCGCCCCCCTCAGTTGTCAAGCAACAACCTCTCACAATTTTTTTACCAATTTTTTGTGGTCCACACAAGGGCGCGCAACCACAAGAGCCCATACATAACCCCACCGTGCTCAGCCTACTAACGAGGCAAAAATAAGACAAAACCCAAATAGGTTTTGCCCGGAATTTTGGAGTTTTGACCCCAATAATCATTTCCGGGATTTTTGACTGACAAATACAGCTACACATACAATAAAGCTTACCACACATTCTGCAATCCTTGCTTCAGAGTAAACCACAAGTGTGTAGTACCAAAATATGTAGAACTCTTTGAAGAACAACATACGAGATATCTGGGACTTTTTGTGGAGAGGTGTTGAGGGAAAGTTGAAGAAAGTACTTAACAGTACTTAATTCTTGGAAGTCCTCCGCCAAAAAACCCGAGTCTGCGGTAAGCCCCTCTCCGAGGTCGCGGACGCAGCCGCGGGAGAGGGGCTTAGTTAAGCTTACTGATTCCTACATGATCGTTGACTATCGAGTGGTGATCCTTGATTTCAACTTCTCAAGTGTGATTGTTTTCGAAATTTGATCGTTAGACTTCTTTAATGAAAACCTTCAGTTGGATTTCATTGTTCCTGATCAAAACTCAACCTCCCCTTTCAAAGAAAGGAAGCAAGTGCCCAAAATGTAAAAATCGGAATATGATCGAACTGTTCTTCAAAAAGATTGTTCACTCTAAAAGAAACCATTCACCTTTAACCTCCCTTATCAAAGGATCCCTTTGACAAACGATTGTCATCAATCTTGAAGACAGTCAATCTAATCCCTTACAACAAACCTCCAACCATCAACCGTTTCAATCAACAATCAAGATGCCTTCACGTACTAGAATCGTCAGTGAACCGATAGTGATAACTGAAAAACCAATCGCTAGCCAATTTATACCAGCGTGGGCTACAAATAGACCTCCAAGTCACGTTCATTCTCAGCGAAATCGATCATCGCAAATTCCTATACCTGAGATACCTGAATCACCTTTACATCCTCATTCGACTTCTTCTATTCCTAAAACCACTCGTACAAATTCTGATCGACGCCATCATAAAGCAGCCGCTTCTATCTCTGGTAGAATTTCCTATAGTCTTCCACCTATTTCTCAAACTATGGCTCAAGAGAAAAGTACCAAGTCGGGATATTGGCTTTCTATATGGAATTCAGAAGATAAACCGGAAAAATTTAATTTCATCTCTCTTGAAAGTTGTCTTAAAGACTTGAAAAAGAACTTGAAAAAGCATGGGTAAGTCGATCTTTCGATTTTTGTGTTTCCATTTTCTCTTTTATCTGTTTATTTGGAAAACTTGGCTGATGTTTTGGAGCGGAATTAATATAGAATTTCCAACGAAAGTGTCAGCAGATTGAGAGATTTACATGCTAAACTATCTGGTCAACTGAGAGATTCTTTGGGAGGTTTGGAGAAGTTTGGAATTGATAGTGAAGGAATAAATTTATTACAAGAACTGTTGTCAGAAAGTTTAGGTGTCGAAAGGTAAAATATTTTGATACAAGGTTTCTACGATGATGCCAATCAGTTGATTTTGTTTAACATTTTTTGAAAATTGTCAAAAGTTCTAATCCTCAAGATATAAGTGAAACTCGAAATTTGTTTCTTTATCAGATCACACGATGTTTAAGGGACATTGTTAACATTCCAGTAAAACATCCCTTCTTACCAATATAATATTGGATCCTACGACTGATTTATGCTTTTTGTTCACAGATCGGATTAAACATGTTTTTGGATCATCCTACTTTGATACACACCCTTGCTCGGACACTCTTGAGTTCATCGTGCAAAGCAAGAACTCAAGCTGCAGATATCCTCACAGGACTTTGTTTGTTAGAAGCTCAACCTCAAGTTATAAACAGTCTCATAAACATGAATAACGGAAACCCAAATTTATCTCGTTATAAAGCTCTGAATAAAAGTTTTAATACTCAATTTGACGAAGATGAACTAGGTTTAACAGAAATAGATGGGATGAATTCACTTTGGATCTATAGAACTGCTACCTTAGCATTGTGTAATGCGATTGTCAATTCGTTTCATGACCTATCAGATCGGATGGAGTTCAGAGAATTTATCTATGAAGATGGTTTAACTGAAGTACTCATTGTAAGAGCTTTTTCTCTTTCAATTTCAGACCTCCCTTCGAGTTCACGGGATTGGGCAAGAATTAAAGCAGTGCTTTCCTTTTTATTCTTTTTGTTGCGGGGGAAATGTGAAATGTGTTTCTTCTCTAGAGATTAGATAATCTTGGTACACCTCAATCATTTGATTCTCAACTTCGACTTTGGATTGAATCCCGAGAGAATGATAAATTATATGAAGCTCGTTTATTAATTCATGAAGCAAACAATCAGACTCCTTCAAAGTAATGTTCTAGCTCTCTCTCTTTTTGATTTTTGAAGCTCACTCTTATCACCCCAATCTTTATATTTATTTTTACATTTTGTTGTAGAGATGATGATGTATTCTTGACACCTGTCAAGGATTCTAGAAGTGAATCAGCGAGCTCAAAACTAACTCGTGACATTAGGTGAGTCATCTCTTTCACATCAAAGGTGTGAAAACAAAACTGATGATGTCTTCGGGTAGAAACATCAATATTGAAAATGAAGATTGGCAAAGATTGATTGACAAAGTTTGGAATGGATTTAGAAAAATCAACAATAAAGATCAAGAAGACAAGGTTAAAAATTGGCTATATGGATTAAACCTGATACTGAATGGAGGAGATGGTTTAACAGAGTTGAAAAGATCTAGAGAATTGATCTTTGATCCGATTTTTAGTTTATTGATGGAAGTTGAAAAATATATCGAAAGGTTTTTAGATCTGGTCAGTCTTTTAGAGCTCGCTTCTTTGGATGAAAAAATGAAATATCCGACATGGCTTATTTCTGTTTGATAGCATCTTGACCAATCTTATGAGGTTCACCAATTTCGAAAGCAATTTAGAGATTATAGCGAAAGTCCCATTCATTCAGTAAGTGACTAAAACTTTTCTTTGTACCTTTTCGTAATTCTTTGAGTTGAACCCCTTCTTGATATTTATTCTTAGTTTCAGTCATCTTCTAATGATTTAAATTCCAAATCGCATTCATCACTATGCACCCAGTCAGTACATCGAATTTTTCTGCCCTCTTTCTTCCTGATGTGGGTTGAAGATTTTCTGATGCATCATTTTCACATTAGGGTTGTGAATGAGAAGGTTACTTCAGAGATGGAATTTAAAAACAAGTTTCCACCCCCACCACCACCACCACCACCACCACCGCCTCCTCTTCCCGTCACCATTTCAGGTTCAGCTCCTCCTCCTCCTCCGCCTCCTCCGCCTCCCCCTCCTCCTACAGCACCAAGAGCTCCTATGCCACCACCACCTCCTCCTCCTCCCCCGGTCCAATCCTTTAGGAGCAATCAATCTCTGAAAGATGAAAACAGTCTCCAAGGACATTGCACGTTTGCTCTGCCTACTTCATTGCCCGGCTTACCTACTCCAAGGATCCGTCTAAACGAGCCTGATGAATTAGCCCAAAAGCCCGAATCAGCTGCTGAACAAGGTAGTGACTGATAAATCTGAATCTATTGTTTGGAGAGCGGGGATGCTGAAGCCCCTTGACATTTTCAAATCTAAAACAGTACCTACTAAGAATGAAGCTATAACAAAGATGAAGGTGAGATTCATTTACAGAACTGACAGATAATCGACACAGTGAACTAATCCATTAAATAAACTTTACATATATCACGCTAGCCATTCTTTTGGAACAAACTTACTATGCCTCCCCAAGATATCAGAACGACGATTTGGAATTATGATGAAAAGATGGTTCCAGCATCGAAAGAAATCCGGGAATTATTGAAAGATTTCCAATATTCAGTTCAACCTCATTATCAATCTAAGACCCAGACAAAACAAACAGTTACTACGACACGCTTATCACTAGATAGAGCAAATAAGATTGGTTGGTGAGATCCTATGGAGTTATCTTTTCATTAAAAATCTGAAAGTATACTCATAAAGAATGATCTGAATGTGTGTTGAAAAATCAATCTAGCCATTTTTCTTGCCGGGATTAAATTAGATAATAAAGATATCAGGCAAGCGATTTTGTCTCTGCGTGATAGGGACTTGACCTTAGAAACATTGAAATCACTTAGACATTACTCACCTACACCTCAAGAAGTAAGTCTTTTTTTCATGATCATATAGAAATCATACTTACTGAGCCAAATCAAACAAATGGGTACAGATTCAGGCGATCGAGTCTTTTGAAGGGGCAAAGACAACGCTTTCGACTGCTGATCAATACGTTATGAAAGTAAGAATCTTACTCTATAGCGAGGGATGTCGAGTCTCTAAAAGATCCAACTGTTTTAGGTGATGGATATTCCAAGACTGCAGCATCGACTTACAACTATGATTTATCGCCGTCGATTTGTGGACGAGATTAATGACCTTGGACCGGAGTTGGGGGTTTTGAGAAGTGCGACCGCCGAAGTCCAAAGATCATCAAAGCTCAAGAGAATTATGTTGGTAAGGTGCCTTCTCACGCGAAATAAATGTGATAAGAATGCTGTCAAAAAAAGGCATCACTGATGGAAGAGTGAATTTAATTTTTTCTTTATAAATTAGTATGTTCTAGAGTTTGGAAATATACTGAATTCGTCTACTTTTAGAGGTAATGCGCCAGGATTTGAAATCTCCGCTCTTTCAAAGGTATGTGATTTAATTTTTTGAAAAAAGTTTCCATCATTTCTGACCCTGAACTTTTTTTCTTCTTTTCGGAAATTTTCAAAATCTCAAGCTTAGAGAAACAAGATCGAATTTAAAAGGAGAATGCAGGAATAGTTTAATCCATTATATAGCTAGGTATTTAAAAAAGCATGAAGAGGAATGTATCTCTTTAAATGATGAACTTCCTCATCTTGATCCAGCATCAAGAAGTAAGTAGATTTATCTTATTTTTTTCATCTTACTCGTTGAGCTTGATATTCTTGGAATTATTTTGGATTTGAAAGTTTCATTTTCAGAAGTATTGGGAGCCGTTAAGAATATGTTAATCGGGATGACGCAAGCAAAGGAAGAACTTGAGATCATGAGCTCAAATAAAGAACTTCTGGGTGGAGACCGTTTCATACCTGAGATGAAGGTAATCAAAAATATTTTGGAACTAAAGAGAAACGTGTCATGTAGTATTGGGATACTAATTGGACATGTCCTTGCACTTTTTCACTTAGTTATTTATCGAAAATGGGGAACCAATGATCGAAGCTCTTGAGAAGAGCACGATTGAATTAAAGAATGAACTTTCCCAAATGATTAAATATCTTGGTCAAGATGCAGTAACCAGAGCTGAGGATATCTTTGGAGCGCTTTCTACGTTTAAATCAAGTTTGGCAGTCAGTTTTTTTCGTTTTTTCCTTGCTTTTACATGCTGGTCAGTTGTGGAATTGAAGATGAATTCTTGTGAATAGCAAGCAGTCGAAGACGTAATGGATTGGGAAGAAGAAGAAGTAATAAACGACGATGCTTTAGACCATCCCAAACCCGATGAGAACATCAATTCGGTTGAAATCTTGGCAGCAATTGTACGTCCAGTTTGATTGCTTCACTTGTCATGAACCCTTAAAACTCAAAAATTCCTTACTCTTCGTATCTTAGTACCAAGAGCACAAAACACCCAACAGACATGCCAAAGATCGAAGTTCAGCTTCTTCTATCAGTAGTGCTCGTAAACTATTGTTTGGAAACGGTGGAGTTGATACGGCTGTACGCGATTCAAGGTCAGGAGGATCAATATTAAGAACTGGATCTATCACTACTCGACATCGACATTTAAGAGATGAGATCAGTCCGACTAGAAATCAAAGTCCTGGTTCTAAAATTTTCTTAACTAAGTAAACCATCTTCAGTTGTTTATTTTTGCTTTTTTCAACTTGAAAAATTAATGTCATTCTCGAGCACTTGGAAAATATCATGAATGGGTGATTTGATTGAAATTGATATTTATATCTCTAAATACATTGTGTAAATTGGATGATGAGTGCTTGCTTGTATGTGCAGCACATTCAAGCCAATCATGGGTTGAAGTTATGCGTGAATGATTTCATCAAGCAAGAACCTGGGTGATTTATCGTGTAAACTGTTTTAAAAATCTTTTTTTCCAAATCCTCACACTTGGTATTCGGCAAGGACTTTCTAAAATCATTGAACGAAAGCATATTGTTCTGACTATGTAGTGTGAACACCACATCACACCAAAGGGCAGTCCAACATCATTTGATTCAATCGTCCCTCTTTTCCATCTCTCTGTACTTTTTCGCACTTGATGAAACTTCTGAACCCTGATTTGAATCTGGTAATCATGATTGTGACATTGTTTGCACCGCCCAAACTTTCACCTTGACAACTATGCCTCTAGAATGCAAGATGAAGGTGCCAAACTTTCTATTGCGAATCCTTGTTCTCCTAAACTTAACTAAGCCCCTCTTCCGACGCGGCCTCGTCCTGCTTATTGTTCTCCCTACTCAATAAAAAGGGGATCGTATTTTTGCCGCTATACACGTCGACTATAACACTCTCTGTTAACAGTGTCGGATGAGCAATTGGGTCCACAGCATCATGCAGTATTTAAAAGTCTGTTTTTAAAGCCTCAACTCAACCCCACTTATGAGCTCTCAATCTTGGTTGTGTACGACGTGGTCTTCCACAAATGTTTCACTGTTAAATCCGCCTGATATAAGCTTACTTCATTAAAAGGCGGTGCACCCATCAATGTATACGAGTCAAAAAGATCCCTTCAAACATATACATCTACCGCCCGAATCACTGGTGAGCATGAACCTCCAAGTGACGTGATGTTTACATATGTAGATCCAAGATCTTGAGCTGACCTCCGCGCAATAATCCCTCGGCGGAAAGGGCCGATCGACTTCCTGGACCTTTGACATACGCCTGTTTTTACAAACTCGGCCACATTTATGCATGACGAAAAAAGAAGTACAGATCCTTGCCCCCATAATGGGACAAATTGGAACCCAAGGGCATCGCAGTACAATACTGGGTTCGAGCGCAGCTGGATATCAATGTCGAATCCCAAAGCGAGCGGTGCATTTATTCCGAAAAGCGTGTGTATTCAGGGTACATTTTTACAAAGTCCCTCCAGATGTCCATTTCAAGCTGTCCATCTGATCCCATCTTGAGGTCCAACACGGTCGGTCGAGATTTTGAACAGTAGAAAATCACAGTTAGTCATTCATGTGATCACGTTGATTCCGTATTGCAAGTAAAAAATTGAGTGAGTCGGAGTGGAGCCACAGGAACGCGATACTTGGGATGGGGGAGTGTTCAGGATGGCAGCAAGAAAGGATATAAAAGGACGATGGAATGTCCCATTTTGCCTCTTCCCTCATTCGATACAAATCCATCTGCTAGAGACATCTTTCCATCCCAATTTATCATATCACTATCATTTGCATTTCAACGCGCTACTTCGTCTCATCAAAAATCTTCAACATGTTTAACATCGCAAAAGTTTTGGTCTTATTGGCAGTCGCCTCTGTGACTATTGCCAATCCGCTCAACAACTCAATCAAATGTGATAAAGATGCAGCTCATAAGGGAAAAATTGAGCTTCACGACTGCGAATTGTAAGGCGTTTGACAACTTTTTGAACAGGATGACTTCGAATATACTGATAGATACTTATTATTATGACAATTTATTACAAATTCTAGAGTCTTAAACAAGTATCAACAAAAAGGTCAATGGATCGTTGATAACAAATCTTCAAACCGTAAGAGTTGTTACGGCTGCCAAGTAAGTAAAGCTGGATAATCTAAATGCGTTTGATTAATTTCCTCCAAATTGATCCCTTATCTTTTTCTGCTAGGTTGTCTTTGAAACAAAAGATGGTCGTGATATTGCCATGTAGGTCGTAGTTGATAGACATCCAAGTCACCCTTGGACTAATAATCTTTATTTGAAACAACACAGCCCGAGAGATGTTGCTTGGAAGGCGCTTAAAGATGTCCTCGGCACTTGCCACTCTCATGTACGTATCAGGATTTATCCTTTCCTCACATGCCTATCAATTCACCAACATGAAAAACTTCAAATTCACAGGCAGGCACCACTTGGATTCCTCAAGACTCAGTAAAACCGCAAGTCCAATATGATGACGAACCTCACATTGATCATGAGGTTAGTGTACATGATGAAACATCATACACTGGTTACACTAGCCATGGATCACTCGTGGTGACTGTTCGTAACGGGTTCGGAAAAGAATGTGATGATGGAACTGGTGCTTGGTACAAAACTGACTGAAAAGATTTATACTGCTTTATCATGGACACACGGAAACACAACTTTTTCTTCTTGAATTTCTTTTCCATTCGATCTCTTGAATGATCAGCTTGTAGTCTGTTGTTATGTGGCACACCTACTCATCAGCCTTTTGGATCTTCATACCAAACATTTCCTTATATCTCTTTCTACTATTCTTTACCCATTACCTCTGATATCTGAACAATCTGAACAATGGAATCACATCGTGTGTTAGGATTTTTGAATCCAAGCTACTTCATATCATGTCACTTTTTGACGAAAGATCTTTGGATAAGAAAGATTCTAATTTGTGCGGTTGACGATGAAAAAATCTTGAGATTCACCCTTGGAGACTATGAGATCATCTTACTTATTTCGCAGCAGAAGCGAAACTCGATTTTGAATTTTGAAAAAATGGAGCTTACTTTTGATTGAAATTGCCTTCTATTTCAAATCAAAATATTTGCATCTTGATACACACTAAAACTTGAACATACCCAACAATCATAAACCTCTTGAGCAGAGCAGAAGTAACTCAAAGACTCATTTTCCTGAGTTTAAAATGACCAACGCATGATTTCTAAAAACCCTTTGTGATGGGGCTCAGGGCTGACAGCAGTGGCAAAGGAACCAATCTTTGCGGATGAAATCATGAAAACAAAGCAAGTTGATCACTCTTTCTCCGTATTGATAGGTAACCATTGGAGAAGGCTCTAATTAGTGGCAAGACAAAGCTAAGGTCTAAGACGTACGCTAAAGAGCCCAAGTGTTTTACAATCTACATCATCTAAACCAATAAATATTTTGATCATAATTCACCACAAATGGGTTTATGATTCTCCATTCCCAAATTCTTCAAAATAAATGTTCCACAATTGATCACATGAGATATCACTCAAAGGATCTAAAGAAGGTTAATGCATTCTAATATTTTCACTTGCGTGCATAATGACATTTCTTTTTCTGTGCTCCACCTTAATCTCAATAGTTCTCAGTATCTTTTAATCTTCAATACCCGGAAGCCTCAAGAGTATCCATCCTATCATAAAATTTTAGAAAGTAAGATTTCCATTTACATACTTACTATTCACCCACAAAAAGAATTATGAGAAATAATGATGATTGTAGGAAATCACTCTCTTGATTTTTTCAATCATTCTCATGATCATACAAGTTGAAGAGAAACAAGTAAACCCATACAACTTTTTTTTCGTGAGGTCTGTTACCTTGGAATATAAGCCAACAAGAGTTTGGATCAAAACATATTTGCCCAGAAGCAGAAATAAACCTTGAGAACCAAAGTTCTCAACATCAGACTCACTTCCTTAAGATCAAGAAAAATCTATGCAAAACTCTGAAATTGCAAAAGCTTCACTTTCTGTTTCATCAAATAGCTAAAGTTGAGGCTGGCTAGGACTGTTGTTCTCTCAATGGGTAGCTCGATCACAAAGAAAATCCGAGTTTCGCTCTTTGACTTTCTTTCTTTTTACTCCATCATTCTCATTTCAAGTTTTCAAATTTATTAGTGTTCAAAATAATTTGCTTTCCATAAAAGTAACAACAATACCAAAAGAAAAAAAGGAAAAACAGATTCATAAAGAAAGGTATTTAAAAGAGAAAGAGATTTTAAGAACAGATCAAACTTTCTTCTCCTTCATTGGTTTACTCAGTTTTTCAAAATCAAATACATCAACAAATACCAAAGAAGTCAGAGTGAAGAGATGAATGATAAGAGAGAAAATAACTTGCAATCTCTTTCAAAGAAAAACACCAAACATAAAAACATAGAGACAAAGATAAAGACAAAGAAATCGAAAAGATCATAATTTTTATTTAGAAAAAAAAGAACGAAAACAAGAGAACGACGATTGATGACAGTTTCCATTATGATCAGAATACGAGAATAATAAATTGAATGACTAAGAAAAAATCCATAATGGAATGAGAATCAAATCACAAAAAACCTTTGCCTCAAATTAGTACTAATGCTACTACTGCTACTACTATTACTATCAACTGCTTCCTTCATCTCATCATCATCATCTTCTGAATCTTCAAAACATCTTCTGAAATCTAAATTTCCTACTCCTCTCTCTTTCAACCTACGCTCTAGTCTCTCTAATTGTAATAATCTCAGATCTTCTTTCATCTTCATCCCATTTCCACCTCCGACGTAATTTCCCACCCAACTTGATAAGTTTTGTAGCGAAAGACGACTGGTCAGCGATGGGCCTCCAGGCTTCCCATTACTGCTGCCTATACTATCTTGTCGAGCACCATAATGCGACTGAATTGATGATACAGACGATAGTGGAGACCTAAACGAATCCTTCTTCCTCATTGCAAGACCATGTGGAGCCGTTGGTGCATGAGTCATGGCCGAGACGGAGAATTTTTGGTAAGCGACCGGCTTGATCTGCTCTATCTGTTCTGGTTCTTCATGATGAAGGTAACTAAATAAGAAGGGCGGTGTCTCAAGAACTTCCTTGGCCGGCTCGACCGGTGGCAGTGTGATATCAATCGAATTAGGCCTAAAGAAAAAGCAATGGTCCTCCTCTGAGCTTCTCGCGCTGTGAGTGACAGGTCCTTTGGGAAATGACCAATGTCTAATAAATGATTCGCTTCGATGATGTAGTTGAGGTCGTTCCACAATGGGTGTCTTGGGTAGTGGCTCAGATGGCGACGAGTCTGTGGAGTCTACTGAATCTTCTCTTATACAATTAATCGCCTTGACAGTCGCCACTATTGGGCTCAGCTGGTCAAGCAGTTCATCGTCAGCAGTTGAACGCTTCGAATCGTCACTAGAGCTCTGGATCTGCGAGTCTCGGACTTGCTTCACCACCGACTCAAATGGTACACTATCAACTGGGCTCGTTTCTTCATCTGAAAATAGCGTCGCCATTGCTGGTCCTTCGGCATCCAACTCATTCACTTCGATCTGCATTGCAGCCTATCACAACCAAAGTACGAACACATCAGCGTCAGTAGTCTCATCGTCTGACATTAATATAAAATCACACTGCTTACCGCTTCTAATGCATCCTTCGTTGCAACGTGTTCAGACCTCTCCTTCTCTAACGCGCTCGCCAATGCAAAAATTTGATCTCTCATCTCATTGATCAGCTTCACTTGAGCTGCCTTTAGCTCACTTTCATCCTCCATCTCTTCCTCTGTTGCACCACTCAATCCTGAACCATAAACGCCAGAGTCATCAGATGAAGTAGGAGTATCTGATGAGTTAGTTGTAACTTTGGTCTTGCTGCGGTTCTTTCGCTTCCTCAATAGCTCGCCAATCATTCGATCCTTTTCTTTCAAGTCCCTCTCATACTCTGCTGTTTTAGCCTTCTCTTGTATCATCTGACCTTCCAAGAATTTCAATCGTAACTTGAATCCTGATACATCTTCTTCTAATTCACTCTTCGCCGATTCAAGTTCATCTACCAACTTCTTCAACTCATCAACCTCAGCTTCCAAGCGTTTCAACGACGAAGAGGTCTCATCAGTACTCTGAGATACCTCCATCACGTCCGCCAGGCTGCTTGAATCGTCAGAATCACCACCTTGGCGCATTTTTTCCAACTGTCTCTGAAGCTTCGAAATCCTATTCTCCAGGTCAGCTCGGACGCTTTCAGATTCTGTTCTAACTCTTCCAGTTTCCTCTCGAGCCTTCAATAACTCCGCCTTTAGTATCGATTGTCCAGCATCATGTTCATCTTCTGGTTCCAAAGCGGAAAAGTCGTTCTGCACGAGCTGTTCCATGTCGAGTCCATCCATGACCAGATCACCAAAGCCATCAGCTTGAAAACTCAATATTGACTCGTTTTCGCGCCTGGAGAATGAAGCACCATGCTTCTGCTCAAGAGACTGTACCAGACTCTGCTTCCAGCCATCATGAGCGTGCTCGCGGTCCAACTGGCTACTTGTCTTACTAGCTGCCGATGAGGCCGAATGAGTAGGTGATTGTTGAGCAAGAGCTTGAAAGCGGCCGACTTTAGTGGCTGTGTTGATCGTCAGTGGAGGTTTGGCTCGTTCAGGACTTGGCGACTTGGAGTAAGATATACTTCTTCGGGATCGAGTGACGCAGGGTTTAATTGCAACAGTCGCACTTCCAGTACTACCACTCAATGAAGATCGATTTGTTGAGTTTGAGCCAGCACTGTAGTGATTGTACTGGGAGCCAACAACAGCAGATGAAGCTGGTAAGGGCCGTTCGAATTTCAACATACTGGTCGATGGATTGGGGGATGCGCTGGCCGAACTGGAGCCACAATAAGCGACACTGAAGTGAGAAAGTGAGGTGGCGCCAGACGATCCTGAGGTAGATATCCCAAAGGTGGAGCCGGTGTCTGGAAGCTTGGGAGAAGTGAGCGCGAGAGGCTTCAATTTGGCAGGAGGGGTAGGTACTTGAGCACTAGGTGGTTGACTCAGGCTCAAGCTTAACGCTCGAAGAGGTCGGGCATAGCTAGATGGCGGTAAGGTACGACTTCCAAAGCCAAAGGAAGGTGAACCAGTAGGTGTAGTAGAGGTTGAGCGAGAGTTGAATATCAAGGAATGGGGTCGTCGCTTGGGCGGAGTAGGCTTGGGGATCGGATTCGACGTGGAATCTTCTTCGTCCTCTTCTTCCTCCTCAGCAACCGTCTCCATCGCCCGAGGTTGTGACATCATACTCGAGATTCTCATTGTGGCGTCTTCGTCTTCATTTTCTTCTTCTTCTTCCACTCGACTCAAATCCCTGGCCAGTCCGAGACTACCGGCACCAGCCCACGAGAGACTGTTGATGCCAGGGACACCTACCACAGGAGCGGCATTAGGGCCGACATTATTGACCGCACCATTAATCCAGCTCATTCGCCGTTCACTCCGGCTAGAAAGCGAGGTACCAAAATTGAGATTGGGTGAAAGTTCAGAATTGATACCGGTATCGGTTTGCAAGTCGGCGCAAGCAAAAGGATGAGGTTGGAATGTCCCGTGTGATTCATGATACGCAGGGGTGGATACCTTGGGCGTGATGCTTTGCATAGACATGTTATCGCTTATACTAGTTAGACAAGAGAAGAATGTGGGGAATGATCAGCCGAAGGGGTATGGATCAAGATAGTGGGAATTGCTCACCTAGACGGTGAAGTGATACCAGCCCCTTCGCACGAGGAGTTCGAAGGTTTTTCAGAATCCTTCAACTCAGCATTTCGACCTTGTGGGCTTGGTTTGCCCTCCAAGGCGGAAAGCGCAGCTAATCGGGCTAGCTCGACCGACATCGGACCTTGCGTAGATTCCGTGGGCCTTTCTACGCCATCCAAGTCATCCACCTCGACCGGAATGGTACAAGGAGATACATCTGCAGATGTATGCTTCTTTGTTTGGACCGAGACAGGAGGGTCGAGATTTGAGAGATGAGCGGCGCCGGAACCGAGGCCAGACGCCGAAAGCCGAGGGCCGAGAGATGAGAAAGTATTAGAACTCGTGGTACATGTCGGAGAATAGGGATCGACTCGTGACAAGGCAGGATTGGGAAAACTGGATGAAGGTGGCACCGCAAAGGTCAGCAAAGGAGGCCAGTCCTCAATTTCAGCCATGGCCAGATATTGGAGATAGAAAAGGATGATATGTATAAGTGCGAATGTGACAGAGCGTGCAGAATTATGGATCACAGGACATCTAGGGATCTACGACGGGGCAACAATGCCTGTATAGATCTTCTTCGCTAGCCCCCTTGAGGAGTAACGAAGAGCAACAAAACAACGCCACCAAAAATGAGATAGTAAGAGAAAAGCGCTAAGAGGATAGATGTGTCAAATCTGCCGACAGTCGTTTGGCCAGGCTGTGGAAGGAAGAATCATCAAATCGGGCTAGATACAATAGTCTGAGCTGACAAAAGTCTGAGATGACAGGGAAAGGATGATGAGCGTATTGGCAGGATGGTTTTGATGTGTCTTCACCCAATTTCACGTTGCTTGACCCTGATCATGCCAGACGAATCATTCGCGACATGTTGCGATCGGCCCGCGAGATGAGACAAGGATGAAACTTTAAACCTATTCACCGTAGTATGTTGTGTGGTGCAAAGATGTCAAGACAGGCTGTAATACATTGGGGATCTGAAGCCTATGCAAGGCCACAGATCTGCAAATGAGTGACTTGAGGACTTGGATTCCAGAAGATTGGCGTACGATACAGCCTTCTGGAATTTCGTGAAGGGGTTCAATAAGCACAAGGACAGCCTGGCGCTGACCAGTTTTCAGCGGACCAAAAAGCGATGACGTGAAAATGGGTGTGTGAGGATTGCAACAGCCCATGCATCACTCCATTTGAGCGGGCTTTCAAGGAAATGTGACCACCAATTCATATTGCTTTTGCACACCATGATTCATGGTCGCAGGCAATGAAAATCACGGTTTTCGACAAAAGCGCGTGGAGATGCAGCAGACGAGTGCGAGCTAGGCGATTGGAACTCCACTGTTCGCTAACGATGCAAATTTTGACTGAAATGCTAGAGGGGACGCAAAAAGACAGAGAAAAGAAAGCGAGCAAATGAGTACTGACCCTGACCAGCTACCTCGGTTGATCGACCTCGCACCCCCTAGATTCTCAGAGTGTGAAACGGAGCATAGACCGCTAGGCGCAGAAGGAACTCCAATGATGCCAAGTCCACCCATGATCTCAATACTCTCCCGACGAGTGCTAACACTGTTTTTACGCATGTGCTTCGACTCGCGCCTGACGTGACCGTGTTGATGAGGCACAAATGAAGAGGAATTTGTACGTTGATGGGGTTGGGAAGGATCATGACCGGCCCATGGCGTGGATACCAAGGTAGGAGTAGTACCTGTGACTGGAGGTGGGAGACTGATCCGATTGGAGTTGAAACCGGGTAAAGTGGACGAGCCCTCGAATGCGTTGATAGAGGCTGGAGTAAAAGTCGCTGAGAGTCGATTTGGGTTGGTCGCGTTGGAATCCAGTGAGGGGGCGGCGATCGGCCTAGAGAGCGAATCACGTCGAGAATGATGATACGCAGGTTTGGTGACACTCAGACGGCGTTGATGAGCCAGGACTTCGTCAATGATATTCACTTGTTCACTTGAGACCAGAATTGAAGCAAGTGAAGAGCGGGACTGGTTACGAGAATGAGTACGAGTGTGTTGGTGACGTGAATTGCCAGGAGGCGCAACAGCTGAGGTTGATAAGGTTCCGCTTGTGGTAGGATTGAGAGGGTTGGCAGAGAGCCCAAAAGAGCCAGTAGAGCTTGCATCACGGCTGTTCGCCGCAGCTGCCTGTTTTAATCTATAATTTTTGAGCTGTACCACAAATACGAAACACGACAGAGGTATCAATACATGAGAGAAGAATTCAAGTTAGGAGAGGGCAAATCTAACCTTTTTGCGCGCATTGATCAATCGCACTTCGCGTTCATTTTGAGCATCTTTCTCGACCGATGTCTCAACGCTAATGACCTGAACGGGTGAAGAGGACTTCGAAGGCGGTGGAAAAGTGAAGGTGTCCATCGAGAGAGGAGTGGTGAAGGTACAAGACGCTGGGTACTTGCAGATAGAGGTATGGGAATAGAGAGCCTAGGATGAGGAGGAAAGATTGAGAAGTTTCAATATTCACAACTGGTAAAGAAGAATGAATTGAAGGAAGCAGAGGCCAAGCTAAACAATAGAAGACAAAGAACCTACGTTAGTTCGTTCGAAACGTCAAATCGAGAGGTCGGGTGAGGAAGTGTCTGAGAATCGCACAGACACAGAAGCTCTGTGAAAATGAGAGCCACAAAGATGCGAATGGATTGAAGCGAAAGAGACAATAAAAAGAAGATTAAAAGATTAAATTATGAAAAGTTTAAAATGGAAATTGAAGAAAATGAAATGAAGTGAATTAGGAAAAATTGAGAAAACCGTAGACGAAATTGGTGATTGATCAAGAAACCTCAAATTCAAATCAACTTCTGAGTCGGTATCATCGGGAACTTTAATAGAGAAGATCGACGAAAACAGGAACAGGCACACCAAGAAAGAAAACAAAAAAAAGGAATTGAAGAGAGCTGCTTTGATAGGATTTGGATGTATATAACTTCCAGTGAAGAAGTTGACGAAATGAATTGTATGGATGTAGATGTTGAGATCGTTTGAAGTCTTTGATATGTAGCTTTTGGTTTAAAGAGGGAAAGAGAAGATCAATCGAAAGAGCACCACAGTAGAAATAGAAATTGACTTAGAGTTGAGATAAAGGTCAAGAAGAAAAAAAAGGTATCCGATATCAAACTACAACAAAAGAACTTGACAACATATAGAACTTTATCGAATTGCTTTGTACAGCTTTCAATCAAACCCTCAAAAAATCATTGTAGCACTAAAAAGTTGACAAGGGTAAAGACAAGTTATTTGCGGAATGGATTTTCAATTGAATTCAATCGAAATGATCCATGGAGTCAACAAATTAAATTTCAAATCGATTATCGTGGTTTGTCGAGATATTTTCAGACATGAAGGAAACAAAAGTCTAAAGATGATAGGAATCAAAAATGTTTTACAAAGCAGTCTTATGAAGCTTAGGATTTCCTTCATCTCTTGACTCTATCCTAAATACCAGTTCAGAAATCAAAAATCTTCAAAGGATTTCTATTTAGAAAAAGAAACCCAATGGGATCATCTAAGAATTTAAAGCACTTGATGTTTTGCAAATCATGCATTTGTTAATAGATCCAACTGCGCGTCCCATTCAAGAATTTTGAAGTGTTGGTAAGGATTAAATAAACTTTCAAGCGATATAAAGAATTATCAAGAAACCCATTCGGGCGTGATTTTACCCTGTAAAATAAATCCTACAATTCTCCAAAACACTTCGATATGGTCATGACGGTTATGAAGCCTTGGATGTCATGTTTTCAGATCATGTGTTGGATGTCTTTTATTTCTCACTTACTAATGATCTCACCGATTTCGAAGATTAAATTTATGATCCACTTTCTTCACAACTCTGCCAATGATGCTGGTGGCTGCACAGGGCTGCACACTGCATAGATGGGGTCCTTTTGTTTATTTGGTCAACATCTCTCATATGGTAAACTTATCAAAGTCCCCCCCGCCCGAAAGTTTACTCATGTGGACTCCAGATGACTGACATCAAATTTATCTCTGAATCTCTCTGAATCAGCTACAATTTTCTCACACTAGGAAATCTCAATTGTAGGTGCATTCTTCTCTCTGAAATGCACTTGGGAGCTGAGTTATGTGTTGGGGTTGGTACCTTATCTAGGGGTCATCATCAGATATGAGGCTACACCACGGGATTGTTTTGTGTTGAATAATGGCCTTACCCAGTGTCCACTTGGTCCTCATCCTTCACCCGCCCATGCTTGGGGAAAATGTTTCCCCATGGTTAAAGATGATTGCCAAAAGCTGTAATTGAGGACTCAGTTTTGACCCAAAATGCTTGAAAACCCATCTGGAGAGAAATACAACACTCTTTGTCCTGGAAAATATTTTGGGGGTTGCCTGAAGCATCTTACTCAGCATCAACTCAGCAAGCAACTTATGATGTTTTTGCTGACTTTTGGAAATTCAAAGAAGTTCAAAAAATCAAAAAAATAATCAAGATAGATCAGAAATGTGCTTTATGATGTGTGGTATTTTGTTTTGGATGTTTTGGTGCCTTTTTCTTGGATAGATGCAAGGTATAACATAAAAGTTGTGTTCAATTTGCCAAATAATTTGAAAATGCATTTTGGGTCACACAAATGCATCAAAGTTTCATAATGTTGCATCTTTATTGCATTTGTTTGGTGGTTTTGGAGCCTTGTACATATGTCTGTAGTGTTGATATAGTTTTGATAACACATGTGTGATGAATTACAAGCTGAGCCAGAAAAATCCTAAAAAAATGATCAACAAATAAGGGGATACTGTCCTTCACTTCTTGTTGTTTTTTTAGATTTTTCTTGTCACTTCTGAAGGCTGACAAACTCTACAAGGGAGCTTAGTTAAAAAAGATATTGATGAAATCAAGACTTGCAATGTATAATGGAAATCACAAGGAATTTGAAATTTGAGTTATTCTTTATTGGCATGAGTGTCAAAAATGTTTGCTCAGGTCTTGTTTGCCAGTGGCCTGTTGTAAAGATGCATGTTTGTTTGAAGAAACACCTTGGAAGTACTCAATGGAATATCGGAGATGGAGAAAATGTCACTTACAATTCCAGAGGTAAAATAGTCAGTGCAAACCAACCCACCATCTCACCTAATTGATTGCATCACATGCTTGGTTCAAGCATCAAGCATGCATCAACCATCTGATGCAGACATGAGTCAAGTGGCTTTCTGAGGAGAGCATAGGTGCATTGATCAACAATGACTTCTTTGATGGCTGTCAAGACTGGTCATGGTTTGATGAAATATTTGGGTTAATTGGTAGGTTTCCAGATGTCCTTGCAAACACTAATTGGCCGTAGATCAAATTCTCCATCATTCACTTTGTGATCCAGAATATCAACTTCTTCTATGTCTTCATGAAGTCCCTGTTTTTGAAACGGCTTAAGCTGATCATAAGAGCAAGGAGATGGATCAGCTGTAATAGCTGATGCAAAGCAACCCTTGGCAGGAATGCACAATTTCAAGACCAGTGTTGTATATGGCACCCTAGTTTCAAATTTGAAGACACTCATGTATAAGGCTGGTTCTGCTGTTGCATTACCAAAATTATGATCATAATAACTGCCTTGTAATCGCAAAATTGACTTGGAGTGAAATCTTGTGGATGTTTTTTCTACTTCCAACACGTATTGGAATGCTCCTAGCCAAGCCACCATAGCACACACCACTTATCTTGAAAGTCATGCCAGATGTTGATTCAACATGACCCACATTGTACAGAGCTGAAAGGTTTACTATTTTCCAGTGTGGTGGTGCAATATGCATTCACCAAATTGGCCCAATTGTAAGCTCTACATGGGCCACTGTCAATTGCTGACCAAAAATTAGATAAGTTGTGCATGATGGTTGAAGAGAACGATGGTAACAAAGATTACCCAGTCTGGTGAATATCTTCTTGCTTACCATATACAGATTGGAGATTGTCCTACTGAAAAATCTAGCTTTTATAGCATTGTTCATGAAAATGCCATCCAAATTTTCACAGGAAAAATGTATTGGCAAGAGGAGGTGATGAATAGGGATTGGGCAAGATGCAATTTTGTAAAACTGAATTCAGCTACAACTCCAACAGAGGGCCTGGCAGATTCACCACAAATCCAGACAACTTATATCTGCATATGTGTAAACAGACAAGGTTTTTAAGGTGGGAGTTGACCTGGAAATATACCAGATCAGAGAAGATCACATGTCTTTAGGATGGGTTAGTGGAACACACAACAACAATTTTTAGATCAAATCAGAAGCAAAAATAATGGTGCAGTTGCAGGACTTGTGGATGGTTGTCCACTTCGATTTTATTGAAAATCCTCTCTTTTGATTGATTTGAGAGCAGCTGTCCAGTTTTATTGAATTGAAGATAGGTGAAGATACTTCAAAATATGATGTTACAGAATCATTGCTGTTGGGGGTTAAGTGCCAAAAATGCCACAGATTCCCAGTCAGGGAGGAAGCCTTGCTGAGTGAATTCAAATGTCTTACATTGTAGGGCTAACATATTAACTGCAGAAGTTACAATGAAATCCAATCCATCTCAGGTCAATCCCATGTTACCTTCCTTGATTCATCATATTGTCTGTGATACAAACACTCTTCCTTTTGGGTGAACCATGATACACTTGTAAAAGGGTGTGTCCTTCTGGCGCCCAGAATGGCACCTTGCTACCTTAGCTTCTGCCCCAGATGCCGTCCCCTGCCAAGCCCCAACTGTGCCACTTGTGACCTTACTATTTACCACCCTTGGCTTGCCTGTGGGCAAGCTACAGCAGGTCTGAGGTTCTGTGGGGACGGTCCTCAAATGGCCAACCAGTGCAGACAGTGTGGTGGTATCACAACAGCCAAATCAGACAGCCCAAGGGCAGTCTGACAGTCCTGGGAGCACCGAAGAACCGGGGGAATTTTCCTGATAACCTGATAGTGATAATCTCACTGAGAGCATCCGCACTCGTTTGCGGTTGTTAATTTGGTCACGTGCGGTAACAAACACAACATTAAGTAAAAAGTTACTTAACTCAACCAAATTTCGCACTCGTTTGCATTAGCAGCGCTGTAACTTTTATAACTTTACAGATAGTGCATGTACTCCGCACCGGTCGTGCAGTAAGGTAAAGTTTTAATTTTTTGAGTACACATCACCTGCTTTCATGGCCAGTTTTCATGTGATAGAGGCACTGTTCTCTTCTTTGCACTAAGATACTAATACTCCATCTACACATGAAGACCCGATATCATCCTGTTCATCTACTCGATCGATAGATCTTAATTTAAAATTACAAATTTAACATGAGTTTGTTCAGATCTTAATACATGAATTCCAATTAAAAAACAAAGGCTTTACTACATCGAGAAAGCTTTTAATGAGTCTGAATACACATAATGATCTTGTAAAAGATTTAAAGATTTAAAACTAGGAAATAAAAATCCAAACTTCAATTTTTAATTTGTATCACTTGATCCTAAAAGTCCTCCAATGATTGGTCTTTTAATGTTGATTTTCTTAAATATTGACCTCTACATAGCTATATGAATCTAGACATCTTTCATTTTCATCTGAATGGTTTGGAGTCGAGTTCAAGATGGTTGATTGACTTATTTCAATTGAAGACATCGATCGGTGTCAAACGTTCTCGAGTTGATTCATGCAACTGTAAGGCTTGGAATTCATCGTGTGTGAGTGGTGAAAAGGAGATATTGGTTGTTGACTTTGGTGTTGGAGGTCTGGTTGAGTTTTGTTTTTGGAGTCGAGTTGCCGGGAACAAGTCGTGATGTGTGATACCGCATGCGTTAGCCAATTGGTAAATTTACCGATTCGCTAACGCAAAATGACCGAAAATTAACTACCGCGGGGCTAATTTTTCACCGGTGTGGAAAAGACCCCGCGTTTGCGGTAAATTTAACCTTACCGCACCCGACTTACCGCACGAGTGCGGATGCTCTGATAATGTGATAATACAGCCTCACGGTAGTAGCATACTGTACGCCTACTTACACGATACACACCCTTAATAGCACCGATCAGAACTTACCATGTATTTCGCCAGAAACCTTTCTGCCTCCGCCTGTCACAGGCACCTTCGAACCCATGTTTCATTCAGAATTTTCATTTGTGCCCCTTGTTTCAAGCACCAATCTTCCCTTTGCAAAAAATATATATGCCTGCCACATTTGCACGATGTCATCCCAATTGCGGCCATATCCACGGCACGGTCACAACTCACTCATCACTTTTTCGATTGAATCGACACGAGACCTTCATCACCGTCACTCTCTCTACCCGCGTCATGGTGGTTCCAACGCTCATCACCGAAACGTATCGCATGGTCAACCCTGGTGCACCTCTTCCTGTTCCCAGTCTTCGAGGCGCCGTTGGCCTACATTGCCCAGTCTGCGCCACCCCGATGATCTACAAAAGAGCTAACAAAGAATCCTGGCTCATTGGGGCAAGTCCAGTCATGCCAATTCCATCGCTTCATGGATAGTTTTACCAACTAACCCTTTTGTTCTTTACACGACCACGACCGCGACCGCACAGTGCCCAACTCCTTCAAATGATCACAATTGGAAAACTTGGCGCTGCGACCAACTCAATCACGAACTAGCGCTCATCAACCTCGGTGCCCCCAGACCCATCATATCGAAAGAAGGCGACTGGGGACCCCGTATATCACCTCATGGTCGACTGATCTCCCCTCCACCTGAACCACATGCTGGACATCCCTATCATCCATTCCTGCACCGCCCAGGCGCGTCGGGAGCCGCTCAGGCCAACGGCCGAGCACCTAGGGCCAAACCTTCCACAGTTTGCAAACAACCCAACGAGGGCCCCACTTCACAAGGTCATAAGACCGCCGCGAACAAAGAGTGCCTCTCTCAGTATTGCCTAGGAGTCAGTCAAACCTTGCTTAGCATTTTGTGACCCACGAACCGTTCATTGATATGTTAAAAACCCTCCGTAGTGTTGTCTCGAGTATGGCTCGCCGCTCTGCCGCAAACACGCACGCCCGGCTGCAAGTACCCCCGTTGGGCGCGATCCTATTCCCAATCGCGAACCTTTTGATCATAGTGTTGCCGACATCAGTCAACCAGACGTTTTTGACCCCACTCTACGTGGTAGACCCAGACCAAAAGCTACCGCGTCGCAAGCTCGCCCTCACCAGTGGGCTCAATCCTCCAAGTCTCTTGGGCGACGTGTGCCCAAAGAAACCATGATCATGTTCCAGAATCATCGCGAGCAACGCGACCATGCGGCCCAACGCGAGGTTTCCAGCCTCATCGACGAGAGCAAGCTAGTCACTATCAACTTATGGGACAATGTCAGTATTTAAGACATCAACATTGATTACAAGACCGAAATTGTTTACCATTAACAGCTGAAATGATTGCAAATAGCCGGTGAAACCTAAGGCGATAACCGCCTTGTTCCCATTCTGGCCTAAAGCTTGCTTTAACGAGAGTCCCCTCCTAGTGCAGGCCCTCCAGACCGCGATTGGGCCTCATTGGAATCGAGCCATTATATTTTGGGACAAGAAGATCAATGCATGGGTCAGCCTTGCGATTCATCATCGGCTGATTCACTTTCTATGTTTTGACTGACCTGGCGATTACCTTCCATACACAGCGCGATACTCTTGACAGTTACCCTCATCGTTTCTCTGTTCACCAACGTTCGATTGTGGTTCGACTGCCACAGGTTGAAGTGCCACTTGCAGGCTTACCCTCATTAACTAAGAGTAGCCCGATAAAGCCCCCCACCTCTTCATTTCTGTCATCTTCGGGACTGCCCCCAATATGTGACTTACCATCTTCACCCAGGGACAGCTCACAACCCCATATGCCCAGTCAGCAAACCACTTCGACTACGGGACCCACACAAGCATCGACATACAAAACTACCCCTGAGATCCAACCTCATCCTACCGGAGTAGGTGTTGAAGAGGACCAGACCACGACCTCAACCCCTCGATCTCCCATCACGATCGATTTAACAGGATCGCCTGATGACGACCCTAATCAAGTCCATGTTGGAATGCAACGGTGAGCACCACAATCCACGGTCATTTCTTCGAGCCAACCACCACCAAGCTTACCATCAATATCAACAGCGATCACAGCGTGTGGATTTCCACGCAAACTGGTTGCTGAATACCAACCTCACCTCGTTACTTTCCCTCAACGCCCTGAACGAAGGGAACATAATCAGCCTGCGTGGCAATGTTGTTTCATTTATCCCACTCCACAACACTTGGGAGATCCAGGTATGCCATTTCGAATGTCTCTTTGGAAGGGAGGGGAGGGAAGGGGCGCAACATCAACTGATTGGCGTACCTTCATAAAGGCTTCCGAAATCCAACTAATTCATTGCCGAGTAAACACGAGGGCATATGGTGGCCTTGAAACCGTTAGCCTTTAGCCATTGGTTAGCATGGTTGGACATGGACATGGATGGTGGTGGTGACGGACCCAAATGGTTTCGCAATAGTCGGTGCATTGTATATAGTGTTCATATATGTATGATACATGTATGTAAAAAAAGACCAGACGAATGCCACTGTTAGCCCCTATAGATCCACTTCATCTCATCATTTCGAAGGAAATGATGAGATGAGAACGCGTCTAAGACTGAGCTTCAGCTTGACCATAGACGTCAGGTTGTGACATGCATAAGCACCCCAACAATCATTTATTCTTTGCAAAAAAGAAAGCGGTAAATGTTCCCTGGCCATTTACCGCTTTCGCTCAACTCTCCAGACCACATTGGTTTGTCAAACATGTCATATGTATGATCAAACTCTAGATCAACTTGATCACTCAGTATGTATTGCTTTATATAACATTGCTTTATATAAGACACAACACATATTCACAAGAAATTCTTTTGGTTACTCTCAACTTTCCAATTGACGATTAAATGGCACCCTCCCCAATGTAAGCTACACCAGCTCTCTTGTTCAGTTTGTTTGTGAGCCATTTATTTCTCAAATAGACCATCTCTTCCAAGAAAAAATTGTAGATGAGCGACAACATGTTTCGGCACATCGAAGCAAAACCACCATACCAAATGTTGGTCAGTTCAGCGGCGGATGCGTTGAAGATCCATCGACCGTCCTCTTGAATGTCGGGAAAAAGTTTGGGGTCAGTGAACATCTTGCAGAATTGATCGCTTTCTGCGTGAGAGCGGTGGTGGAACGGATCGACCGGAATTACAGTCCCCTTGAAGTTGGAGGGGTCGGACTGCCCGGTGTAAATATGTTCGGTCAACCTGCAGGCGTTATTGTAAAACACCACTTCAGGCATTCCTCGTGGAAAGGTTTCCTCAAGGAAATCCTGATAGAATCATGTCGAGATGAAGAATAAACAAAGAACCGAACAGGATAAGGTGGCACCAATACCCAATGATAGATAGTTCCATTTCAATTTTCCAATTGAAATCACGAAAAGAAGATATGAATATTCAGATATTGAGATGCTGCTATCGAGTTCGCGACGTTGGAATTGGAACAGAGGTACTCACTCTGACGGCGCTCACTGATTCGGCATGGTAGAATGTTTTGCGAGCCAATATAATTCCACAAGGAGCTACAATGAGCTGGTCATTGTGAGTACGGCTCCTTGATAACACGTATTTCCCGGCGGCCTGCGATTGCCCCCCATCGCGCGCTGCTTCATGGGCCCTTTGCGACTCATCAGCTTGTTGCAAGCTCTCCAGGTCGACAAATTGGCCTGTTTCGGCGTCCAGATGCGGGGTAGGATCCGGATGGAGATTTGACCCAGGCCTGTTGAGGATTGCAGTAAGGGAGAAGTTACCTTTCACTCTTTCTTTGAAGTTGGCCCACTGTTTGACATGCTCGGGGTCATCGCATGTGTCACTATTCGCGGCAGAGATACGAGGGCAGGGTTGGGCTCGGCATCGAGATCCTAGCAACGCAAAGTGTTCTGTGCAGAAACGGTGATTGACATTGGCAAGCTTGTTGGTACACGGTCCTTCCGGCAGAGGTCGCCCAGAACTTTCCGCTATTTCGCGGAGTTGTTCGGTGGTCGCACTGCAACGCCAGTGACCAATGGTCAAACCATCAGTCACTACCGCACGGATAGCTGATGATGGGGATGGAAAAATCGTTGTCAGGTGAAATTTGTTGACAGTAGAAATTTGTTGACAGTAGAGTCGGGGAATCAGCGATACAAACACTTACATTTGTAGAAGCCTTCGCCGGTGACTGGATCCACCCCGTCTGGTAATAATCGAACGCAAGTTGAGAAGTAGTGGTCTCGATATCGTGTGCCTTCAATCAGCAGTTGATCTAGGTGAGTTTCAATAGCCGACTCAAATCGGATGTTGTCGGTGCCACTAGAGCTGACGACTAGGGTGGTACCTCTTCGGTCGGCATGCTTAATCAACGAATGAAGCATCAGGCCATTACGACACACTTCCTCTGACATAGACGGTGTAAATAGTTGATCGGGGGTGAAGGTCGCCGCGGGAGTCTCGTCTACAAACACCATGTTGTACCAATTCACCAAATTGAAATGAGAGACACTACCCAAATGGTGTCAGTCTCAATTTGTCAACCGAGTGATTCATAATTTGGGCTTAGCTTACTGTCCTAGCATTTGTAGCACCCGGAACATGTAGGCCATTCGAGTACTCATGTAGTAATGACAGGTGATGTGTAGATAATCCATATCGCGGCCCAGGTCCTTTGTGTAGTAGTATCGAGCGCTATCTCGGGTGTAAAAACTGGGCCTATAAACGGTGTCGCATTTGGGGTCTGCTATCAAGGGTCAATGAAGAGGCATCTTTCTGTGTATGTTTAAGGTAAGGTCTCACGAACTGGAGCAACTGAGGATAACGGTCTGCACTGGGTGCACACCGTCGATGTCATGAAGGTATCCATTGATCCGAGAGTGCACGTGTAAGGCGTAGGCATCGTCTTTGGAGCATATGACACAGTGGGATAAAGGTGCGCGTAGAAATCGTTCGGGCAACTTCGTGGTAAAGTTTTGTTGGAGACCCATATTGCGTATGGAGAGTGTTGGATCGATTCGACACCAGCGGAGTAAGGGGAAAAGCAGTTGCCATAAGTCGTCCAGAAGGTCGGTGGGGAATTGAACGGATAAGGCCTCCTCAAGGAATGGTAACACAGGGTTTTGATTCGGTGACAGCCGTAAGGAACCACCGGCGCGATGTTCGACTTCGGCAGAAAGCGATGCAAAGCGGACGAAGTCTGACACCGTGAGTGTTGCGGAGAGGTGTGGTGACCGGTTGATGAGTTGGATGGTAAAATCGCGTAATAGCATGTTCGATGATGTGGTTGAGGTTGAGTCGATGGGAGTTGTGGTGTGGTGATGAATCGGTGTATGAGGCTTGAGCCGATTGATGTCAGCTGTTGACATCCTTCATCCCACAAACAGGCCGTCGATATTATGGCATATGAGGTAAGGGGCGAAACGTTTTTTCGGTTTAGTCATAAGTCCCAGGGTCTAATTGTGGTCAGGAAATTTCAAGCTGTACGCCTGATGGAAACCCATACTTCATGGGTATGTGCAGGTTTATCAGCGTTATCAGGGGGTTGTCAGGGAATCCCCCGGTTCTTTGGTTTACCGACAGTCCTGTGGTGTATGAGGTGGGCATAAATACATTCAAGTTCAACCAAAAAATTTGAGGGATTTTTTGTATCACAAAGATTTCATAGGGAAACTTATCACTCTTTGCAAATTGCAGTCTAGAGTGGTTTCCAGAATTACCCCAGCGACATAGGTTGGAACTCCTGTTCACTTTAGTTGTATAAGGCAAGAGACGGGGGAGAACTATGGAGTAAATCTTTGAAGTGGTGTAACAGTTCCCATTTGACAGAGATTTACTTCATGAGCCTTGGGATTACACCCTATAGTCTCTTGTCTAACCTTATGAATTTGAATTTGGCAAGGGACTTTGTTAAGTTTGACATTAGATGCTCTTAAATGCCTACCCCAATTCTGGATTGAAAATGTGCTTAGACATGACTGACTTTCCTTCACCAAACTGGCCACATCTCTTCCTGATTTTACAATACAAACCCCACCTGGCAGTAAAGCATGTATGTACCCCTCAGCACCGCACCAATTCAACTGCACAGACAAAAAAGTCACCACAGCATTTGACCACAAGTGCAGTCAAAACACGACAAAAAAACCCATGCTACATTCTGAGTACCTCCGGCGGTAGGCTTAGCTGAAGACAGCTAAAGCTATCCCTGCACACTGAACAATACTCTGAAGTCACCTCACAAAATAATCACAATCCAATTTCAGGACACAAAGGGAAAAAAACACTAACGTCTAGGGATCTCCGTCCAACAATAAACAAAAAGAATCCATTTTGTGACTGTCTCCAACATTAAAGTGGCTCGCAAGAACCTTGAGGTAACAAACACAATGTATGATGGAGAGATCCCAAGACGGAAAATATAAAATCACAAACAAGAAAATCGATCCCATTGAAATGGGTGGACTAGAGCCGTGGGAGCGTGTCTCTATTATACGAATTCATAAGTAGTAAAAAGCTCTTCAAAACTTATCACGTTTGTAATCGCCATTTGGGAAAGTTTGGTTGACATTCCTAAGAGCAAAATACAATATTTTAGTAAGAAGAACAGATTTGAAGATTTGTTTGAAATACTAACATCAACTTGGTGTTTTGACTGAATGCATTTCAAAGATCAAGATCAAAATGTCAATTTTTTACATCTTCAAGGGATGATCAAAGTCTACTCACCCCTGTTGGACGTTGTTCCAAGGTTCTGAAATATCAAAAAAAATCATTGTGAGATTCAAATGCACTGTTGTCCATCCGATCTACGAAACGATCCAACCCAGCGACATTCATAGCTGAGGAGACTCACGTGGGTTGTTGTGACGATCCCAGACAATGTCGGGCCCCCTTGCAAGACGAGCGAGGTACCAACTAGCACCGCCGACAGCAGTTCCCATAACTACGTCTAAAGAATTCAAAATCAAAGAGGCTTAGTGAGATTGCCCAAGACTTGGACTCTTGGAGAGGGCAGGACAACTTACAAATGGGGATGACCTGTTGTGATTACGATGGCAAATTTGCTCGAAAATATATCAATGTTCTGTCGATCATATTCGGCTCCTTAGTCGAATAGGCTTACCGCGGGGTCGTACCAGTTTTTCCTATGATACCATGAAATTGTTTATTTTTATTGAGTCAGTCAAGTAAGAGAGTTTAGAAGATTGAGAGGTAACTAACATGAAGCGGGCGAATGACATGATGGATTTCGACGGGTTGATCGATATTGCGAGAAGACTGATGGGCACAATAAAAAGGTTGAGGACTGAATGCTTGGTGATATGGCTACGATTGAGAATATCAAATGAATTTGGTTAGCTATAGTGTATGCAGCAATGAATTGAAGATGAAGATGATGTGTGAGGAGTTTCGTTGATGTGAGAATGACTGACGAATGGTTTTGAGGAAGATGGAGTTGACTTTTACTTTTCAGTATCAATCCGGGAGCTTTCGGTGGGTGTATTAGTCGATCACCTTAAGGTCAGAATCTATCTTAAGGTCACCTTAACCTAGGGCTACGGTGGCCGGTGGCACGTCCCTATGTAGGGCGGCGGGCCGCGCACGATGTGTTTCTCTCGACCAAACAATTGGCTCCATGATTTGAGACGAGCCCTGACGAGCCTGTGCTTTGCCGTTATAAGATGGGAAACACGAACCTTGAGACAGCAGGTGGACGCTCGTCCATCCTACCATTGAAGCAGAAACTCGATCAAAAACTGTACCATGCAAGCAAGCACGAGCCATCGACACTTGTAAAATTTCCAAGAAGCAAACTTTGCAATCTTGGGAGGAAAGTCAAGATGAACTTGCTACTATTTCATTGCAAGGACTCTTTGTGATTATAAAAAGTGACGGAGCCAATCATTCCAGATCAAATTTGAGTTTCTGGCTGATCCTACTCAGGGTTTGGATTGAGGTAAGCTAGCTTGGGTGACATGCCTGGTGAAGTATTCTACTGTTTTAGCTGAGGTCCATCTGCAAAGACGTCCAAATATTGTGCTTTTGAAATCCATGATCTCCAGACCAGGCTCAACATTGGGACGACACAAACGTGTAGAGGGTTTTTGTTGCCCAATTTCGCATCACGCAATATCCTTATCATCGTTGGAGGATTTGTGGTTCTTACATCTATGCTGCGTAACTCTTTTATGTATACAAAATTGAAAGTTATGATATGCAAGAGATTAAGACCCAAACTTATATATCGTCCATGATATACCTGATTGTTCAAGCGCAAAACGTATCTTTGGAAAATCGTGAGTAGATGCCCACGAAGTCAAATCTTAGTGGATCATGCCAACGAGTAGGGAAGCTGGATGAGGTTGTCATGAGATGTTTTATGATGTGACAGCTCGCTAAAGATCATGATTTCCTCATTCTTGTTAGCATCGGCTAACATCTTGCTTTTGAGCTTCACTTGGCTCCACTTGGTTGATAGTAACCAAAAGGAGATACGAAGGCTGTGACATTGGTATAGGCCCAAGACAAAGACAAATTGACTATGAAAAATTGCGCCCGGATAATTCGATTGGACATCAATTGCGCAAGGAAAGCTTTATTTCGCTCAAGAGCGTTTCGAGTTCTTTCACATATTCATGTTGGGACCTTTTCTCAAACTTGGAAATGCAATACTGAACTTGTTGTGTTATGAATTCTTGGGTGGGGGCGATTGGACTTTTGACGACTTGGGGTCGCAGTAGCCAAATAGAGAGGATTGACACATTAGCTTGGAGTATGCGCTTTTTAGAATCATTATCAGTTTATTGAAGTTGACCTACCAAATCTCACTTGGAGTGAGGTAGCGGCATTTCCAAATGTATTCTGTATGACAAAATGGACCATCCTCCAAAACGTCGTCCAGCTAGGGCATAAAGGCGCGAGGATAGGGTCAATTGTAACATTTATACTGGAAGATGAAAGAAAGAGAAGCAGAAAGCTACTCAGGTGTTACTCACTCCCATCCAGCGTGCTGTCGGACCATGTCTTGTACTACTTGAATCCACTCAGATTGCCACACTGGATCAGATGAGGATCGAGGCTTTTTTTGCAAGAGTTCTTTGACGTCGCTAATAGACTCTTCCACATCTTCGACATCCTGGGCAAGAGCATCGTACACAAAATGTAGATTTACAGAGTTGCACCAGCTGGAGAAAAGTGGAAGTGGTCAGCCTACTTATGTATCAAATTTTTGAAAATAGCGGTTTTCGAAACGTCAACTGACTTATGATTGATGCTGATCACAAGAGGAGACAAGTTTTCAACCTCATGTTTCCAACCGCTCGGTCTAAAGGTCTTGCCCAAGTAGCGTATAGAGTGAAAGAAGATGCTTACTTAAGTTCCATATTCATTCTCATTGAGGGTGAAATAGCTGTGTCGATATTGACGGGAAAGACGCACTCACACAAATATAACTTCACGTTCCGATTGAATGATGGTGATGGGGTCCGACTTACCGGGTTCATAAAGATTCCAACGCTTTTGACCGAGGATATTGGCTGACCACGAATACGATGCATCTGTCGTGGGTCAGTGAGATTTTAGTCTATCAATCCAACCTGAAGATGCAAGGTATGGGGCCCGCTCCGCATGTCAACTTGGACGCAGGTCGACCGAGGTCAAGTGACTGGGGCTGAGAGAGGAGAAATGCAGCGTACAAACGTCTGAGTGGAATGCAGTATAAGTACCCCCTTGACCGATATAAACGAAACGAAAATCATCTTGGGTCCGGGCTGTGTAATAGCTGAATTGCTCAGGATTTATGAGAGGAGTTCACTATTGTCGATCGTGAGGTGGAAGAGGCTTAAAGACGCACGCATTCATCCAGTCATCTTGAAAGATTTCCGGTGTAGAGTATAATGAGCGAGGATTATCATCGGCCCCTTCCACGATCTTGGGTAGATGCCAATCTTTGACATAAAATTTTGTGCTTGGCTGATTGGGCATATCAGCAGAAAGGTATCTTTCCCATCGCTCGATGACTTCACTGAAGGGTATGCACCGATGAGTACTTGCGTACTCATCGCCGCTCGAGGTTGATAGCACATCGCCAGCCTCAGACTCGACACACGAGACAAATTGATGTCCATAAGAGGTTTTCAGCTCTGCCAAGTTTGGGTAGCTCACTCCGTCATGAGTTGAAGTCCATGATTGGAAAGCCGCCCAATCGTCAATCAAGCCTCGGCGAATCAAGCAGGGTCGATTAGGAAAAAGGTACTTTTCTAAAAAGCTTTTATAGTCTGGAGGCGTTGACAGAACGTCCATCTTACATCGAGCTTGGTTGAGCTGACTATCGGCGTTGGAATGGATAGTTTAAAGGAAAGGTGAGCGGTTCAGACTGTTCAAACTGGCTTGCTATCTTGTCAACTTTTGTACAAACCCTAGTATTTAGGGTTTAAGTCTCATGATTGACCAAAAAGTCGAAAATCAACGATTCTCACTATCATCGACTAAAAGTAATCGCAGTGCAGAACAATGCCTTGATCATGTACCATGGCACTCAAGACCTGTGTACAAGAACAGGTCTCGCAACCTGGACTGGCAAACACGCCGAGAAGTGCAAGGCTCACCAAATTGGTTCAAAACGACTAAACCAGGCTGAGCGACAAAAAGCTAAGGACGCAGATTGGACGACTTGATAAATTCAATTTGAGTAATGAGCTAGACCATCGGCAGGAAGAGAGCGGTATGCAACGGGGCTTGACCTATGTATTCATTTCAAGAGAAATCAGTTGGTCCAATAACCTTTGGTTATTTCCATTGCTAGTTGGAGGGCGTCACCCAGAAGTTTAATCGACCTCTTTTCCCAACGTGAAATGACCAGCAAGTTCATCAAAAGGTACTTCACCTCACCCTTCATCCTTTCTATCTACTTGACTTGCCTTTGAATCGTTCGACCTAATTTTAATTTGCCTTATACATAATTTATTCTTATTTATCCACTTGGCTTTATTACCGTCAGCCCAATTACTGGTTTAATTGCGCCTTGAAGGCATCATCAAATAATCAAAAGTCACTTCATCACGAGTTTTATCAATAGTAGCCATCAAGATGAGTTACAATCAACAATACTATGCGAATCCACCATCAAACAACTATCCTTCCTCGCAGGGTCCTCTGGATACAACAATCCCAATCATACCACACGTTCACAAGTCTCAAGGCATGAGCACAGGCTTTGAAGCCAATCCATCCTCCTACAACCAGGATAATTCCAACCCTTTCATCTCGGGAGAACCGGAAATAGTCAGAGACCTTAGCTTTAGGGATGAGAAAAAGATTGATATCAAGGAGGAAAAGATTATCGAAGCTCCCCGGGCTGCTCCGCCAAAGCCCACTGCCTCAAAGCCAACACCAGTTCATCTCAGCGACTCGGTCAAGTTCTGGACGTGGTTCAGTCCGTATCGTCAAATATTGGTCTTGACTATTGGCATTCAAATGGTAGCAATCCTGGTTACTCTCTCTGGCGCATGGATATATCCCAGAACTCACATTTCAGCCATGGTCGGTGGAAATCTGCTGGTAGCTGTTGGCATCCGTAGTGAATGGGTTATGCGTTTCCTTTATTGGTCTTCCATCAAGCTTATCAGAGGATGGGCCCCAATGAAGTTACGGGTCCTCGTTGTAGCCTTTTTGTACCATATCGGTACGCTTAACATTCCAATCCAATTCTCACTAGTTTCATCTCCACCTCAGACCAGATACTTATGATTGGCAAATGACTCCAGGTGGACTGCACAGTGGCTGTGGAGTGGGTGCAATGTTGTGGCTAGGATTATCGTGGTCATATCATCTACTCAATCGTGAACTATATCACTCCGTGGTCTTGGGAACATTGTTTTTATCCTTAGTAATCGTGGTGACGACATGCATCGTAGCTACTCCTCTGGTGCGATCAATGTATCACAAGTGCGTCCACTTCAGCCTTTCTACCAGACCACACGAATCTGTCGTGATCATGACATTGACACGTCTTTTACAGCGCCTTTGAGATAACACACCGATTTTTAGGATGGTACGCCTTCTAGAGCTTCTTCAATTCTTTTGCCTGACTGACAAATTATATATTTTCTTTGATTATTCCCACTATCAGGGCCGGAGTTCTTTCAAGTCTTGCATTTGTTCTAACTTCAAGTTGGTGGGATATCAACACCCATAGTTGGAAAACTTCAACTTCTTACTTGATTCATCTAGAAGAATTTTGGTATGTTATTGCACTATTCCCCTTGTAAGCATCGTCTTCTTTCATCGTTTATCTTGCATATGTCAAGTACCAACTCTCGATCTTGCTTTTTAATTTTAGAGTCATCGGCCAATGGATCACTGTTAGACACGTTCCCGTCACTGTTTCCGCTGTAAGTCCATTTCACAAGAATGTACACAATACTCAACTCTCAACGCGGTTTAAAAATCATCCTACAGCCCTCCTCTAAAGCTTCAGTCATCAGAGTTCCAGGGGGACTTACATCTGGAGTCCATACTCGTGTTTCCCGTGGAGGTCTACGAGAATGGCATATCTTTGGCTCAGTTAGGTACTTATCGAAACACTCAAATACAAACTTACCAAAGCACTCATCAATATTTCTGATTGTAGTGAGGGCAGGAATTCTGATTGTCATTACATCGTCATGGCTGTCCAAGGAGGTTTCACGCGTGCGATGAATCGTGACCAGCCTGCCAAATTGTACACCAAGACTTGGAAGGTTAGAGGCCTATCTCCATTCTCACAAGAGTCCCTTACTACATTGCTAAATTTCGTTTTAACATTGTCTTTCCTCCTTTTACCAGCCTTGTGGTCTACCTTACTTCTCTAGATTGTTCACTAAAGGTGTGGCAATTTGTACCGGGTCAGGAATTGGTGCCGTAGGTTCCACTTGCATCCAACACGACGATTGGTACTTGATTTGGATTGGGGCTGATCTGGAGAAGACATATGGGAAGGAATTGATGACTTTGATCACTACCAAGATTGAACCACATCGACTTTTGGTCTGGGACACCAAAGGGCCACTTGGTAGACCTGATGTCAATGTCGAATTAGAAAGAGTTTTCCGAGAGTGGAACGCACAAGGTCATTATCCTTTTCATTTTCCAACTTCTTTCCTGAGCTTTCAATTCGTCGAATTCGTTCTGATCCCTTGGAACGGTCTTCTTTCAACAGTCGCTTTGTTCATCGGTAGTCCTTCACTCAATCAAAGTGTCTTGAGAACTTCCAGAGCTCGTGGTATACCAGTGTTTGTGAGTTTGATCCTTTCCCCTTTTAAGCATATCAATCCTTGAAGATACTAACTCCCTTCAACCGTCTCAAGGGATCCATTTGGGACGCTTAAATTGCTGCGTGGAAACATTCGATTTATTCAGGAAGGAAAAGTCAGACACTGATTCTTTTCATTTCGTCTAGGTAATCATTGTACTCTAGATGCCCTATTTAGGCGATTCGCACTTGTACTCCCCTTTGACACAACTAGAACATACGTTCTTTAAACAGAAAACAACATGCCCTAGAATTGTTCCATTCATCAATCTGGATTCCATATCCAAGACTATAAAAATTAAGTATTACAAATGTATAAGCCGCATGAAAACTCCCAGGTTCCATGATCCCATGACAAAGAATGCACTTATATCAAAAGTGATGCAATTCTTACTACCCAAATCTCTTTTTCACATATATACACGAATATTCTTCTGGATCTTGAGAGCAAAGGCCTTGAAACAGGGCTGGCAGGTGGAGAGATAGCCTCTACCACAGGTAGTATTCTATCACAGGTAGTATTCGCCTCCGTAGGCACGTTGATGAAGTCAAAGTTGAGATCTATCCTATCGTGATAACCACAAGAGAATGATTCTGGAGAGATCAACCCTCCAACATGATTTCTGATATCATATATGGGCGCAATATAACATATCTTGAAATTATTATTTTGGCAAACGTATTATAATGGTAATTGTAATTTCCCTAGTCACTACCACCAAAGAAATGTTGACACCATCACCACCGACAAAGCCACCTCGGATTGTGAAATCCGAGGCATCCCTGGATGATGATATTACAGACATAATCCAAGGCTTTATTAAAGACCAAATAACTCTTCAGATCATTTCCTTGGACATACAGTCTGAGGTGATTCATTTCAGAGGTTATCCCAGATTTGACTGTCTGAGTCTCTTTGTTGGTTGTGCCTTTGATGACAGTAGTCCAGCATGCTTTTTGATTCCTTGACTTTTTTTAATTTTCAAGGTTTGAGTGCCTTGGGTTCTGCCTACTCAAGTACCTAGCTATTCTCACCTGCCTAGAATTTGAACAGCTAAATCCTTAACTAACTTACACGTGGGAATAAATCTTGGACAAAAAGTAGAAACAAATTGAAAGATCAACAAAATCCTGGCCAGCTTGACTCCGGAAGTCATTCTTGGGATAGGATCCTTGTCAGCAGGGTGCAGCAAGCTGTGCTCTGTGGGCCCCGGTTACTTAATCAAAGAAGGGGCATGTGTAGACCTATTAACCTGTGATGCACACACATTTGGGAGTATTCCATCCACAGCTCTTACCCAAACTAATTTAGCTGAGGTAATTCCCACTGTGGAAGCCAAGATAGAAAACATGTTATATCTTGGTCTGCTCTCTAAATCATCTGTAATTCAATTCTACCATGAATTCTAAGCTTTAAACCATTGCCAGTTATAAACTTTTACTATCACCAATCCATACCTATTGTGCCCAAATATGATGTTAGCCACACCCAAGGAAATCATGGCTGTGGATGCAGATCTTTTACACCTCAAGCAATTACCTGGCCCTATTTGGAGCTGTTAAGCACAGATCTTGGGTATCTTGACAAGTAATGTGGCTCAGAAATGATGAGTTCTGTCTATTAAAGAGATTTTCAGATGAAGAAAAGGGCTACAACTGATTTCATACATGAAATGAGGTACTATACTGATATGTGACATACAATGTTATAATGTTTCACAAAGGGTTAACTGGAACATTGAGATCATAACAGCAACCAGGGTGTAAACAAAAGCTATATGGGGACATCTGGGGATTCTTCAAAGGACCTTTCATTATCATACCCTCAAAATGACTTATCAGACCCTACTGATGAATGAACTCTGAGGGAGTTTGAATGCTTTATATGGAGCATTTGGTTTTCAGCCAATCAAAAGGTGGTGACATAAGATAGATCCTCAGACTCTGGTACTGAGTCAAGTGTCAAGACTCAAGAGCTATATTATATTTACCAAACCAAACCAAGCACTGTGTTTCATCTCAAGGGCCCACCCCAAATCACTTATCATGTCAATATTTTGTCAGTGGAACAACTCCTGTGGTTAAAGATCAGAAACATGTGGCACTAAACTAGAATTTGCAATACAAAATTATGTCATCAGCCTCAGGTATATATAGAATACTAGCTAAAAAATCATCAAACTAAACAATTCATCATAACTTATCTTGAGGGCTTGCTTCCAATTTGTAAAACAAACTGGAAGCAAAAACAAGCATCTTGATAGAAACTTGAAACATATGTTACTAGAGTCCTTTCAGAATTCATCTAAATACTTGACCCCACTACTTCCAGACAAAAACATCATTCTGCATCAAATTCCAAAATTTTATCATAGGATTTTTGCAATCTTCAATCAAGACTTTAACTCATCACTATCACTTTGTATCTTCAATTAGACAGTCCAATAATTCTCCAAAAAAAAGTGAGTGCTCACTCATTGTTGATTCCATCATTCAATTTAATTCCATCAGATTTGTGAACTTATCAAACCCTGAATTTCTCCTCAAGTATCACAAAATCATTGGACTGCTAAAGATCAGTGAGTGCAATGGTATTCTACTTCTTACACATCTCTTTCATAATCATCCCCAAGAAAATCTGCCTTCTTTTTGGTTATTCGATACCATGATGTCACTCTTGTCTCTGGATCATCTCTGGCATCCCTTATCAGATTAGCTAGAGATGAAAATTTTAAACCAACCAACCAAAAAAATCTCAAAAAATAAGTACACTGATTCTTGACTTTGATTATTTGTGGTGTTTTTTCAGAAAATTGTCACTTCCAGAAAATATCTAGCAGCCAAAATTCCCAACAGCTCCAAAGACCTGAATTGGAATCAAGTGCACTCAGTTCACCAGTAGTTTGACAATAGCTTCCTATTCACCAAATTCAGCTTTGTACCTCATCATCACAAACACATTTAGATATCATCAATAAATTATTTCAAGAATGATTTTCATCCAATATTCAACTTTCAAATGCTTGATATGGATGTCAGTCATGTCAATTTCAAGTGCACAGTCTGAAGGACTAGAAGGAATACCTGGGTTGATACAATGTGGGCAGTGTCATGCAATGCAACCAGTGATAGACGAGATACCCAATGTATCCTGTGGTAGATCAGTTGAATGTGGCTGTAACTATTCATGGGAATGTTGCACACTGGTTACAGCCTATAAGATGGAGTGCCTCTGTGGCACAACACTTCAACATGAATGTCCTTCAGACCATTCTGGAACCTGTGCAGAAATCCATCCTGATTTGGAACCAGTATACCAAAGATAATATGATCTGGCAAGATAATAAGTTTTTATTATCTGTAAAGTTATATCTTGTCTGGTTTTTGAGGATCATATTGGTTTGGCATTCACAAATTTCATCTTTTTGTTCTTTTACTGTGAGCTTAAATCTTCTTGGTTCAGAAACTCTCACTGGGGTAAGAGTTAAAAGGGGTTTAATATATTGTGACTTGTACCCATATCACAAATCAGGTAAAAAACAATGGAATGATAAAAGAGGCAATATCAAAATGTGTGTTGATCATTATGAATAGAGTTGTAGTTTCAAGCAAATCTCCAATTTATCAAGAGTGAAATGAGGTATATGGAAGTAATTTATTGGTATAAAACCATTAAGAAATATAATTAGTTGACCTCCAGGTATTGGAATGGTGGTAGAGTCACCCAATGTATGTAATGCTAGATTACCCAAAGCTTGCGACGGTAATCTAGAGTCCATTACGAGTGGTAGGGTTTGACCCGAGAGGTGTAAGGGCCGAGGGAGCCCGAGGCCCGAAGAGGAGTGGTGGCGTCGAACCAAGGGGAAGAGAACTCTCCTTGTCCAGAACTACCCGAGTTACCTGATTCAACAAATCCATGGTTTCCTTACAGAAAGAACAACAAACCTCTGGTTACAAGATTTCACCTCAGATAAATTCAATATCAACAATGGCCTCCCTCAAGGATCTCCTCTTTCCGTCATTCTCTATATAATCTATAACTCATCTCTACTAAGCTCAACTCCATTGACGCCGAAAGCGAACAACCTATCTATTGGATTTATAGATGACGTGGTTCACATTGTCTCATCGAAGTCCTTTGAAACTAATATGTCTAAATTGCAGGATCAAGCAAACAAATCACTAAGATGGGCCAACACACACGGGGCCATCTTTGACAGGAAAAAAGCTCAGCTCATTCATTTCACCAACAAAAGGATAAAATCCTTCCCGGAGTTCTCTTTTGGCGACACCCGACTAAAACCCAAAAGCAAAGTTAAGTGGCTTGGGGTCTGGTTTGACACCAAACTCTTATTCAACCATCACCTTCAACAAATGAAAAAGATAGGCAAATTCACAATCGGCCAACTACAGCGACTCAACAAATGCTATTCAGGCCTATCGCCTAAAGAAGTCAAAAAACTAACGCTAGCAATCCTACTACCTCGCATATTATACAGAAGTATAGTTTGGTGCACGGAAAGGAACCTTAACAAAGCTGATAAAATCCTCTCCCAGTTGCAGAACTCAGCAAATAGAATTATCCTAGGAGCATTCAAAGGAACGTCAACCAACATGCTCAGCCACGACGCGTACATGATTCCATTCACGATGATAGCAGCCAGACGACACCACAAATTCCTTCTCAAACGACTTACAGCGCCACAGAACCACCCGACAAACATCTTCATCCAACATGAATTAAAGCTACAAACAAAAACACACAAAGGGCCGATCCAAGATGTTTTACGAAGTCAGGATCTCAAACTACTAACCAAAGAAGAGATGGAAATAATCTACGCTCACTCATTCCCCCCGTGGACAACTAATCTAGGCCAAGTCATTAACCTAGACAAGTCCAAAGAAGAAGCGACAGAATTAGTTCCGAAACAAGTGGAAGAAGAAACAAATAAGAATGCACTCATCATATTTACAGACGGTTCAGTGAGTGAAGAAGGGGGAGGTGCCTCAGCGGTGACGGAAACAACAAATAAGACAGTATCTATTAACTTTCATCACAACTTCTCGAATCACGAAGCTGAGCTCATGGGAATTTACCAAGCAACCGAACTAGCAAACGAACTCTTCAGACGGAACAGACCACCGCTGAAAGAACTTGCAATATTCAGTGATAATCAAGGAGTATTGAGACTAATTCACGAAGCGCCTAGACAAACATCAGGCCAACATCTAATCATTAAAATAAGAACTAACATCCGCAGACTCCCCACTGACGCTAAACTTAGACTTTATTGGACTCCAGGTCACACAGGTATAGAACTTAACGAAAAAGCAGATGAATTGGCAAAAGGTGCAGCAAACAATAACCCAAACGCAATAACGATCCCAACAAGTTTAGGAAGTTTGAAGAAGAGAACCAACGAAACCTTTAACATCAAAGATATAATATTTAAACCAGGCAAAAATCCCTATAAATCAAACCCTAAAGAGATCTCATTAAGCTTACAAGGAATGGAGAAAGGTGGGGCGGCTGCGATCTTTCAGCTTAGAGCCAAATACAGTCCTTTGAACGAACACTTGTTTAAACGTAACCTAATTGACTCACCTCTATGCCCACATTGTGGGCTGAAAGAGAGCACTGAACACTTTCTTTTGTATTGTAGGAAACACTCAAAGGCACGGAAAAAATTCAGAACTCGCCTTCGTAAAGAAGAGATCAAAGTCAACTGGAACAATGCCAAAAAACTGTTAGATACTCCAAAGGGCTTCCCCGCTTTAGCGGACTTCATTCTTCAAACTAAAAGATTTATTCATTTCCATTCTTATACACAGGACAATACCCTAAAGAGAGCGACCACAAAACAGGTTTACGAAGTGACGGAAGAAAGACGATAATTTCTGAAGGTCCACCCATTACGTTATACGATCGCTGTTCAATCCCTCACGGGTTTGTTGACCTCCAAGATACGTCTTGGGTACACAGGGCTTCGAGACAACGCATCTTCTAGTCCCAGGACTTTAAAAATAACCGTCACGTACAGAAATCTGTTCAATCCCCTGAGGGTTCACCAGCCTCCAGGGATCATCTTGGAACCATAGGCTGGTGAGACATTTTTTGAACTAGTCGCAGTGGACTCTAAAACACAAGCATACGTACAGATTATGTTCAATCCCTACAAGGGTTCGGCGACCTCCTAGGTATACCCATGGAATCAGGCGTTCGAGACATAAATCAAAAAGGTTAACCTTTCTAGCTCTAAACACCAACTTGGACTGTTTCCTATACGGAGAACGCAAGAAGTTTCTTGAGTCTAATGACTCCAGCATCCTTAACAAGATGATGGGGGTCCATCGCTTTCCTGCTGGTGGGCTAAAAGCCTAAAGATGGATTTTAAAAAAAAAAAAAAAAAAAAACATATAAAGGGAATCAAAAGCTTAAAGCTTGGACTTTTTCAAAAATTACTGTACTATCTTATTGTCACAGAGTAGACCTGATTTTGATTAGATGGCCGTTTTTTCTCTAAGGTGTACTAGTCTCTTGTACAATTACTTTGTTCTGTTAGTGTTATATGCAATCAAGCCAAACACACTTAAAAAAAAAAAAAAAAGAAAAAAAAAAAAAAAAAAGAGAGGGAGAAAATTTTCCTCTCTACGCCCCCACTACCACTTCTCCACCTCTCGTTAGCTCTGCGTTTGAATTTCTAATAGATCTCCTATTAGAAATTTTCCTTTCTTACTAAAAAGAAGATATCTCTCTTGTATCCTAAACATTACCAACCTCAAGACAATTTGTAGTACTTCATTTCTCATAAAATTCCTGAATGAACCAAGAAAGAAGAGATAAATTAATCGCGAAGAAGAATAAATTACATCAAATTGTTAAGATGTCTAAGTCTTTGGAAGAAGAGAAAGCTGCGAGATTGGCTAAGGAAAAAGAACAAGCAGAAGAGAGATCGAGAAGGGCGGAATCGAGAACGCTTCAAGAAAACTCTGGTGTGTCGGGAGGAATCAACAGATTAAATCCAAGCGGGAGTTTGCTTGGTCATGTAGAAGAAGGAGGCCTAGAAGAGGATGAGGAAGAAGGAAGCGAAGATACGGATTCAGTGTCGAACACAGAAGATGTTAAACCTTTAGAGTTGAAGAAAAAGGAGTTAGAGAAGTTGGAGAAGTATCGAGAGGAGGAGAAGAGACGTCAAGGAAATGCATTGGTTGACTCAAACCAAGGACAACAAGTACAGGTCCTACCTTATGATGGTGTGTTTCCTGTTGTTTTATTTATAAGATAGTCTCCTTTTCTTCCAATTCCTATCCTTGTCCTCGTGTCTAGAAGCAAACGGTTTCTAGAAACCCAAGCGTTCATTGTGGCTGCTTGAAGCGCCAGACGTTGAAGAAATGAGGAGGCTGCTGTAGCGCCAACGTTGTGAAGAGACAAAAGATGAGGCCGCTAGTAAGCGCCAGGTTGCAGCTAAATGCGCACCGTAGAAGAGTGAGGAGAGATAGTATCTCAGGAAATCCTAGTAAACCAAAGGTCTCTAATTTACAATAAGAGAACGAAGTCAGCTGCCAATAAAGAGCGCTAATGGAAGACTTGATTCATTATCAAAAGAGGCCTAATAAGAGATCAATACTTACGTGTTCTGGATCCTCTTGTTTGTTATTAGCTCTTAGAGTATCAAACGACAATGGCAAAGCCTCGGGGAGTAAAGCCTTACTAGAGGCTCTCACAAAAGCCTTAGACTCCCGTGATGGGAAGACTGCTCGACATTTGATTGATAATTTCAACTCGTCTTATGGAGATATGATTCATATGGAGTATGATGGTTATAAACCTCCAGAGCAGAGCGGCTCAGTTCTAGATGCAGCGCGTGTAAACCCTGTGGAAGCGATATTAAATCAAGTCTCAGCTCCAGGTTCGACGCTAACTACGGTGAATCAAAGCACAATCCCAGAAGCGACGCATGTGAATGATAGAGTCCTTAACGGAGAATCAAATGCGGTCTCAAACGAGGTTCAGCCATCTTCAAAAGAAGGAGGGAAGCTAGAGAAAAACGGCAAGGCTAAGAAGAAGGCTAAGAAACAAGAAATTCCAAGTGATGACTCACCTTCCAGCGATTCAGATGATTCGAATCGAAAGAAGAGAAAGCCGAGAAAGAAACAAGCGAAATCCAAGAAGAAACGCTTGGCTAGCTCTAGTTCTTCGAGTTCAGACGACTCAGGGTCGGACACTTCGGATTTGTCTTTGATTTTGAGTTCAGATGAATCAGAATTAGCCAAGAAAGCGGAGTTAGAATGTGAAGTGGTAGAATTTGACTCCGCAGACCTTCCTAGGAAGTGGGATAAGGGCTTCAAACGCTTAAGAGCTTACGTACCGTTATCAGTGTTCAAGAAGGTAGACCTAGAAGCGTATCATGATGACGATGATGATGAGAAGTCAAAGGACAAGAAAGATAAATTTAGAAGCTCAGAGAAGGCGTTAGAAAAACAGCTGACTTACGGTGATTTCGTAGAAATGTGCGATCTAGAGGAAAGATACGCTAGAGAAATTTATCATTTAGACACGTATGCCAATTACATAGTGAAACATAAACAAATTGTGTCAGACTTGAAGAAGAAGTATCTTTGCTGGATGGTCGGTCTTCGCTACCACTTAGCAGTTAGAACGGTGATTTTTCGAAGGAGAAAGTTGATCAAGGCAAAGGTGAATGGCAAGACGGTCTGGAAAGATAAAGTGAGAATCCCGAACGGCCTACAACCGTCAGTAGAGGGAAAGGCGAGGTTCAATGCTGAACGAGCTGGAGATCTTCAATACGATGGTAACCCTTATGCACCAGGTGGTCCGAAATTCGGGTTTAGGTTCTCAACAGGCAGACCTAAAGAGTCAGTGACCCAGACGGTCGTAGAGAAAGTGATTGAGGTTAATAACTCAACGAATCATACCCCAAGGGGTAAGAGAGGAGGCTTCAAGAAACCTTACGTGAAAAAGAATTACTCATTCAACCGTAATGGTAAGAGTGACTCATACAATTTTTCTTAGCGTTGAGGTACAAGAGACTGAGTATTTTTCTCTTTGGTTGTGGTGTAGATTCTCAAGCAGGAAACAACACGGCGGGCCCAGTGCAATCCACGTCGTACAAGCCGAATTACTTCAACAAAGGACAGAAAGCGGGAAACGCTAAAGCTAGCACACAAGAGGGAAACCAAGCGACGTGAGTAGTTGGCAGGTAGAGAGAGTGTTAGCGGAAGCTAATGAAATGTGGTCTCTTTGTCTCTTACGGTTTTGGTATGGTCTGCTGCTCGCGTAAAACTCGTTGAATGCGTGGTTGGTTCGCTTTGCTTGTACAATTTGTGTGTTTGAATAACTGGATACGGTGAAATGTGGTGGAATGGAAACTGTGGATGTCCCTCTTATTTCATTTTGTTAGTGTCTGATACAGTCTAAATTTGTAACCCAAAAGAGATGTAGCAGAATCCTGAGAAGAAAACGCTTGTTTTGAAATGTTAGGGTGATTAGTTTCTGCCGTGTGATTCCCCAGACTGTGCTTGGGAGTGACAAGTTAGGAGAGTGTGGTCCAGAAGAGGTTGGAGGACCAGCGACACGAGATGACTTGGCAGAAGAAATAGAGGAAAGTCAATTAGAGAGCTCAGAAGCGTCTTCAGATGAGGAACAGAAGAGAAATAAGAAAGCTCTGATTCCCTTACGTGAGAGGAAAATATTTACGGTAGAGGTGGTTCCGTGGCCGGTTCCAGTCTCCTGCAAGATGAAGGTGGGAGAGTGGGTTTGCGTGATGGAAGAGGCAGGCCTTCAAGAGGATATACCTTACATCGTAAATGGATTCACACAAGGTTTCTGTTTAGGCATTCCTCAACATGAGATAGAAGGAATGAAATGGTACACGCCGGCAAATCACAAATCAGCTCTAGCAGCAAGATCCCAGATAGAGGCCACCTTGAAGAAGGAATTACACGCTGGAAGAATAGCGGGTCCTTATACTCACGAAGAATTGTTTCGCCAATTTGGTTTCTTTTGGTCAAACCCAATGGGTAGCGCCGTGAATGGCGATGGTTCGATTAGGATGGTAAACGACTTGTCATTCCCTAGAAATGTACAAGGGATACCGTCAGTAAATTCTTTTGTGAGCAAGTTGAACTATGGGACCTACTGGGACAACTTTAACAAGGTGGCGGGATTTTTTCAAGAGAATCCAGGAGAGTGGGATTTAGCGATCTTCGACTGGCAGAAAGCCTACTGCCAACTTCCAGTACACCCGTGTCAAAGACGTTTCTTGTGCATATTAGATTTCTATAATAGACTCTGGGTCGACCTAGCAGTTGGGTTTGGTGGTGTCGCCAGTTGTGGAGTGTTCGGAGCTCCAGCACATATTTGGAAACTTGTAATCGAATACCTCCTAAAGATATGGAAGATCTTCAGGTGGGTAGATGACAACCTAATGTTACGAAGGCCAGGCGAGAAGGTGACACTAGCGGACGTGACAGCTTTAAGTACTTGCCTAGGTGTGGCGACAAACCCAGCCAAAAATTTTGACTTTGCTGAAGAACAGAAATTTGTAGGGTTTATTTGGAATGGTCACGAGCATACGGTGAGACTACCTCAAGAAAAATTGGCAGAAAGGTTAGGATTAGTGGTGGAATTCCTGAAACCGGATGGGTGATGGTCATTGAGTCAAGTTGAGAGTTTCGTGGGAAAATTGGTACATACTGTTCACATTGTACCGCACATGAAGGTGTATTTATGCTCGTTTTATCGCTGGATGAAGAGTTGGAAGAATAAGGCGGCCCTGCGGGCAGCACCAGAAGGGGTGATAGCAGACCTGCAAGAGTGGTATTGGGTCCTTAAGAATTTTGACTCGAGACAGTTGATACCTTCTCCTAAGGCGACGGAGATAGCGTGGGTTGGAGACGCGTCGTCGTCCTTCGGTATAGGAGTTCTCATAGGAGAACAATGGGCCTGCTTCGAGTTTACCAAAGATTGGCAGACACTGGGCCTGGTAGGCGCGAAACATACGATTGCCTGGGCTGAGACAACAGCAATACGCTTAGGTTTGCTGGTCCTACAAAAGACGGTGAAAGTAGCAGGTAAGCTAATTCATGAACGGTTGAGGATGTATAAGTGTCTGACGATAGGTTGGTTCGTTAGGGAAGAAGTTCACTGTGTGGACGGATAACACCACATCACAGGCAGCAGTCAGAAAACGCAAGTCCCGAGATGGAATGGTGAATGAACAATGGAAACAAATACAAATACTTCTTACGGTGCTAGCGTGTGACATTGAGGCGAAACGTGTTACGTCTAAAGGGAACGATGCAGATGCTTTGTCTAGAGGCATATTAGGGAAGCTGGACTGGTATCGCGAAGTTCTAGTAGAAGTCCCGGAAGATCTAAATCACTTACTTCGACAAGTTTTTCCACCAAAGCTAAAGGCAGAAGATGAAGCCAAACTCGGTGAACAAGAAGATTGCTGAAAGCAAGAAGAAAGAATCAAGGGGGAAGGTAGTGACTCACTCAAGCCTGAAGAGAGTAACAAGACCGTTTGGAGCGTTTAAAAAGAATGCGTTAGGAATTGATGATTCGGAAACAGATGAGGTCAAGAGACACTTTTTGCGAGGAGCTTGGGGAGATGGTACTTTGAAAAGTTACAACTCAGGAGTCGTGAAATTATTTCAGTTTGCAACAAAGAACAAGATAAACAAAACGGAACTCCTACCAATCTCACAGGTCTTGATGAAGAGGTTTGTTGTTTGGGCGTCTAAGAAAGATGTAGATCGGGCAGAAGATGACGAGTCGGTTAAATATACGACATTAAGAGCTTAGGTTCGGGAATTAAAGCGTGGCACCTCTTCCATAACGAAGAGTACCCGGCGAAAGTAGATGATGCAGTAAGGACTCTACTCAGAGCGTCAAAGAAAATCGAAGTTGAATTAGGAGAAGTTGAAAAGAAGAGACCGGCAGTGATGATCTCAGATTTAGTGGTCCTCCTAGAAGTCCTTCCAGACGAAGGCGAGAGGCGTTTGGCGATGCTGACGGTCGCACTAATGGCCTTTTGGGGTACTGCTAGACTTGGAGAGCTGATATCGGACGATAAAAATAAACGACTTCCGACGTGGGAAGATCTGAGATGGAGAGAAGATAGATTGGCGGTAGAGATCCTGATTTATGGTGCAAAGACAGCTGGGCCGGGAGAAGTTCAATCTATAACAATCCATCGACAACAGTCAATGTTAGATCCAGTCTCAATGTTAGAATCTTGGCTTAACTATAGAGAGAGAAAGCCAACAGAAGAAATTTTTATGTACCTATTCAATGACAAGAAGAGGAGACTTGGAAAGGTAGAGACGATCACTCACTTTAGGAAGATTTGGAATGAACGACGTTCTCAGAAAAAGCAATTACTTCATGGCCACTCCTTTCGGATTGGAGGTGCATCGCTTTGTTGGAATTTAGGAGCAAGTTGAGAGGATGTGAAGAAAAGCGGTCGTTGGGCCTCAGATGCCTATAAAGTTTATCTCAGGAAGTATTCTGATAATGACTTAAAGAAAACGATAAAATTGTTAGAAGATCTGGTGTGGATAAACGAAGATGTGAAATGCAAATGAGTGTTAGAGTAGTAGAATCTTACCAGATCGCGGCTCAGAGGCACGTGGTGCAGATCAGTACAAATGAGGCGGGTGATAGTCATCCCCTTCCAGAGCCTTCTAAAGTTTAATTTGATTGAATAGATTTCAAAGCAAGTAGATACTGTTTAGGGGACAAGAATGAACTCTACGGTGAAATGAGGGTTGGGGCTTCTCGAGGCTCACGGCTCAAGTCCCCGCGAGTTGTGGGGAAGAGAAGCCCTTTCGGGGTTCTTTGCTCTCACCTCGGAGGGGTAGTAGCTATAGGAATGGACGTCCATTCCCGAAAGCATACTACCCCTCCGGGGCATACCCCCAAACCACCTATAGTAAAGATAAAACAGTATTATAGAGGTTGCAAAGATCACCCTATTGGGTAAGACTTCTTTGGAACGTTGAGTCAAATGAAATCTAAAAGATCATAAAACAAAGTTTAAGACTTGTGAGTAGACTTTGTGATGCTTACACCAAATAAAGAACCATACCAAGTAGTAGTGGATGACAACTTGCGTGTATGGAGTGGCTGGAGATCTAGAAGAGAAGTCTCAAATACATAGGTTTAACAAGTAGGTATCCACTTCATGTAGCGATAGTGTGTGATTATAAGGTTCTCAATTCAGCTTGGATTCATGATGCCTTATCAGGCAATGGAGATTAGGTAGAGTATTGAGTAACCAAGCATTTTACGGTGATAGAAACGAATTCAAATGGGAGCCATCCAGCTCGAGTTTTGGCATTGAGTTGAGATAAATTTGACATTGCAAAAATTCAGCTTTGTATTGTGAGATGGCAAGGGTTTATATTTGAAGAAATCATGAGGAATAAATTGGTTGGACACGAGCTGGAGTAGACGAAGTGTGCTTAGATTCATGGGGCACACAATTCCTTCAGCAAGATTACATACACCCCCTGCTTGGTTGAATTGTTGATGCTTGTATTGTTCTCGATGTTTTCAGTGGGCTATAATGAGTGGAAATCTGAGGAATGGTTATGTTCCTTTATGGAAACTTTTGGAAAACAACAAAAATGTATTTCTCATTATTGGGGAGAAAATGTCCTTTTAAGTAGCAAGAATATTTTTCTCGTGTAAGAAAATTGGTCTGTTGGGAATTGAAAATTTTTACGAAAGAGATGACATAGAATGATAAAGCTTGTTTCTTTTTCGGATACAAGTGAAAATTGAAATATAATGACAAAGAAAAAAAAATATCACTTCACATAGATGAACGGTACCTGCCCTGATAGTAAATAATCAATTGTGAGATCAAACAATTGAATAAATAAAACCTTTCGTATCAAGCTTGAACTTCGGGTTTCTGAGCTGGAATAGGAATTTCCGAGTTTGTGTTAGGAGCCATATGATCTAAACCAAACTTGACAGCCTCTGCACCTTTCTTAACATTAACTTTAGTAAAATTCACAAAGTCAATTTCTTGTAAAGCTGGAGTTAATGCTCGATTCACTTCAGATGCATTTGGTAATCGACCACCAGCAGCTCTTTGTTCACAGAACATGTGAATAGTTTCTAATAAGGCAGTTGCAATTTGTTGGGAAGATCTTGGAAAAGTTAGCTTGTTCAAGGCGGATTTAGGAGCCTTTGACGCGCTGAGTAAGATTAAAAGAATTATTAGAAAAATGATCAACGAGATTTTGGAAGACGAAATGATGACTTACCGATTCTCGCCGGTTTCACCTTCAGCAAGTTTACGATCAGCAAGAGCGTCAATAGAGTTCTTGATAGCTTGGGCCATTTTGAAAAAGTATCTATCATCTGCAGTTTCAAGTGCTTCATCGACTGCTTTTGTCATTTCTTCTTGAGTTGGAAATTCGACTCCTGCCTCCATGTCAGCTGAAAACTTGGCAATTGAGCTGACAAGACCAGCTGAGACTCGTTGCATCATAGCAGGAGAGAGTCCTAATTGAGGAACGCCCGATTGGCGAGCAGGACTACAAGGGATCAATTAGTTTTTTGCTTAAGTCAGAACATGAGGAGAGTTGGAGAAGCCTTACCCTGATTGACCCTGAGTAGAATCGTCATTGGCACCGCCAGCGTTCAAAGATCGACGAACAAGTGTTCTATGAACGTCAAAGCACCCATTAAAAAAGACCACTTCGGAGTTCAAAAAGAGGATGGAAGCTTACCTGACAAATCTGGAAGCTTCGGCAACGGGAGATGCAGAGACAGAGTTTGTGACACTGGAATCGAGGACAAACAAAAGGGCGACGGAGGTGGCAACAAAACCGTAATTGATACGCATATTGATATGTAAGAGTTAAAGGAGGTATTATTTGGCGAAGGTGACGAAGGCTCAACTAAAGATAAGAGTAAATGATAATTGATTGATATAAAAACAAACTAAAAACAAAGATAATGAGATTTGTACAATTTATTTGCAGGGATAAGAAGATTGGAGGGTGATTGATGTGAACTGATGATATGAACGGATGAAGAATCAGAGAATGGTGAAGAAAACCTTTGGTTTTATAGCTGGAGACTTCAGCCTCGACCAAAACATGACATTACTAGCTGAAAGGTTTGACCACGCCCATCGTGGTGATCATGACTTTGCCTCTCCAGCTACGCATATTGATTACACTATTTCTTCAATTTCGTTGTCTTTTGTCAGCCCAGCTGAACAACTCCAAAGCCTTTCTGTAGACGCAACCACGGCACAAGCGCAGCTTCAGGCGAACATGACGAGCGTGTCAGATTGACATGAGTTCATGAATTAGCTTTTTGTTTCCCTAAGCTTAACTTTTTCGAGAGCGGACGTGGCCCGGCCGCGTCGGAAGAGGGGGTTATTGCAGCTTATTGATGCGGCCAGGCAAGAGGGACATTGTTCAATTATACTCTAAGAACCATACGAGAAGAATCTTGGTATCATCGACCTCATCTCTAGTGATTCATATTTATTGCACACAACTTCTTCAAGGAAACCCTTTCAATTACAATTCATTGCTCAGGATCAAATTCCAATGCCTTGCCCTTGCCAAAGAAAGCAAGCAAGTTTATGCACAAAATGCTAAAAATGAAGTATGTTCAACTTAGGTCTCGCCGCGTAAAAGGGTGTGATTTGATGATTTAGCAGGATATGAGTTGTACTACATGCATGGTCAAATATGCTTGGAATGAGTATATATGTGACCTGACTAAGCTGAAGTCATTGTCAGAAGGTTTTGTAATGAGTTCTTCGAGTATTGGTGACTCGTGAGCGCTTACGCCACAGGTTCCCCGAAGCAAAGTACTCTGAAAGAAAAGTTCTTGCTGATCAAGACCAGGAATAAAAGATGCATGTATGGGGAATTAACAAGGCCACAGTTATCAATAAAGGCAAGTGTTTAAAAAAACTTCAAATCACTTGATTCGCCGTACCAGTGCCACTCGCAATGCCAATGATACGAGGCCATGTAGGAGTGATCATAGACATCACTTTATCGTCCTTGATCTATCACATTTGATGCAGCCAAAGTAAAAGTGATTGCTCAAATAACTTGATGATGGGTTTGATTAGATTCAAGTCTGAAGTATTGAATCCCATCTACACCCATCACATCAAGAACCATTGAATTCTGAGAGTTTTGATCAGTCTGATTCATAGGATTTGATGCACATAGTGACAAAGAATTGTAAAATGCCATGTAAAGGAATAAAAGCAGCTAGCAGGACAAGATATGTTTGAAACTCCAACAGTGAAAAAGTAAGTTTAAGTGATCACCTTCACATGTGAAGGATCAAATGAAGAGTTACAGAATACAGAATACCCAAAGATGATCAACATTGAATATTAATACAAAAGAACGGATAAAAGAAAAGATTCTATTTTCCAGGTGGTAATCGAGGAGTCCAACTCTCTGATCGTTTTTTCTTCCATAACCCTTTCCTATGAATTCCAAAATCAAGTGAACAGAGATATCAATACACACCAAAAGAAAACCTTTATGAAACCCAAGTTTGGTTGAAAAAAAATCAAAAAATAAACTTACTTTTTTCCACCTGCTCCAAGATTCCATTCCACAGTTGAAAATTTACTTTTCCACCAATTCACATAATTAGGATCCCAAAGTTCACTTGCTACACCTAAATCTTTACAACATCTCATCAGTGCATTTGATTTACAACCTTCAGTAGCCGTCGGAATACTATCGACCCCATTAAAATAATCTTGTTCTCCTCGAGTGATCGAAACTAATCTACCTAAACAGATCAATCCATACTCTCTAGATACATTTCGGGTTGTAACATGAGATGATCTGAGTTTGAATCAAGCCGATTAGATCAGTCAAGATTGAAGTGATAGTTATAAAACATTGAAGTGGACAAACCCTCTAGGTGCAAGTCCCCATCCACCCGGACCAAATGCTTCATTCAAGATACGGCGATATTTGATTTCGGGAAGATAAATCACACCATCTGAGCAAAAAAGCAATGAATCGGTAAGTTTCAAAGAATTAAGCTTCATGATCTCAAAAGGCTTTACACACCTGGTTTGATCTCTACATCATGTGGATCGAGAGGGGCCATGAGAATATCAGAAACGTCTTTAGGAAAGGGTTGTTGACTTAATCCACTGAAGCTATGACTCCAATTGATAGTAGCATCGTCCAATTCCGGTAAAGGTTCGTTCGATATCCCATTATTCGAGTCAGCCAGAGAAGTAGGCTTGGTAGGCGTAGAAGGGATCGGATGAAGATCTGCAGCCGAAGTAGCAGGATGAGACTCGATTGCAGCAGATTGACCAGGTGAAGCAGTGGTAGCTGATAATGGAATTGAAGTTGAAGCTGAATTTGAAGCTGAATTCCTTGATATCTTGGATAGATTTTGATTAGATGGAGTTCGGATCACACGATCGAAAGCGGCGAATGGATCAGGTGAGAGAGTTGAAGATAGTCTACATGATGGTGTAGGTCTAGTCGCTAGAATATGAATAGAAGATGAAGCTTTGATTTGAGATAACCATTTAATTGAAACTAATCTTGGTGAAGCCATGATGGTAAAGAAGTTGATTGATGATTGAGAAATGCCAATCAGAATTCCATCAAAAGGTTTTCACCTTGTGAATTTAGAATCATCCAAATTTTAAGTATTCTTTCTCAAATCTTACACCAAAAAAAACACCCTAGCCAAAACTAATGTCTTACAGAAAACGTTCCCAAGCTTCAATACCGGGTTTGACTTCTCTCAAAGTTCTCTGCCTTGAAACTGGAAGGAAGCAATCGAGCATACAAAACAATTCAAGTATTTGTGAAAGGAAAGGAAAGGAAACGAGATGCCTCAAATGAAAGATGTTCTCATCCACAATTTGCTTCAATTCACAGTCTCTGCATTTGACCATTGAATTGTTATCTTATATTCTCAAGGCTTGATCATGTCAAGGGTCCAGCTTCATTTGCTCAAGTTGAAAATCAGCCAATAATCTGCCGGGCTTGAAAGTAAAATCTTAGGAAGATATTTCTGCTAAAATGAAGTCATTTGTGAAGGATTTCGGTACTCGTTGATCTAAGTTACGGCGCAAAGTCCCAAGATCACAGATGAGAGAAGCTAACAAGGGTTCAAGATCAAAACAACAAGGTGATAAAGCCTAAAAAGATCAAGAGATGACTAGAAATAATAATACAAATCAGATAAGATGATCTTTAACTATTACATCAAGGTAGTCTTCATTCAAATCAAATTCCTTGTACACATCTTTAAGTGAAAAAAATCCACACAAAAGAAATCGTATAATGCAAAAAAACTTTATAAAAAATGTTCAATAACCTAACGAAAATAAAGAAAACTAAACCCAAAACTAAGAATTAAAAAAATCAAAAACCAAGCCAAGAATTGTTTTTTATTTTGATTTCGATTCGAACTTTCTTGAATCGATTGGTATTCTTCATCATCATCATCAATTTTAATTTCAATCCTATCTTCATCTTCTTCATCATGAATCGGTAAAGGTTTTGAAAAGTTTGATTTCTTGATGATAGGTTGAGTTTGTGAATTAGATTTTAAATCGGTTAATTGATGGTATTGATCTGCATAAGGTGGTAACATTTTCTTTGGTTTAAATCGAAGGAATTCGTTTCGTTCGGATTGATGGATGAATATACCTAGTTGATTTCTTGGAATTCGAATTGAAAGGTTTCAAAGTTTTTATGTTTCTTTAGTGATTTTAATCTTCAAGTCGATGCCAACCATTTCTGAATCTTCATGCTGATGATTTAAAGGGTCCATATGAATCTGATGGCTCGTGTTTCTTCCAGCCACAATCTGATTGCCATCCCTGAGCGGGAGGCGGTCCTCTCGCGGATTTCGATCCGCTGTCGGATCGGGTTTTGGTCACCCAAGTGTTGGATGCAAGTTGATTTGAGAAAAATGCTCACTTCAAAATTCGGATTCTCTTCAATCTTGCAAACATTTCAAACCCACTCAAGCATCCATTTCATCAAACAGACACTCATTCTTGTCATATGTTGTACCTGATCTAAGCTCACTCATGCAACAACTTGCGGCCCTCAAGTAGCGCACCGCTTGATCAAACAAACCAGTCTCAGTGGCATTTGATTGATCCTTTTTTAAATCTTCTATATGCCTTTTCTAGATTGGCTTTATTTCAAAGAATTCAGATTTGCTTTTTTAAATGCTTGAGAGAAGAGTTAAAGAATCATCAAAAGACATAACCCAAAGATACCAGTAATATGTGGTACATACATTTTTTTAAAAGAAAGAGTTTCCAATTTTACCATTATACAATTTTTAAATTCCGAGTATTTCCACACATTTGATTTTTCATTCTTATTGTTCAGTTTGCTTTTTGATAAGAACAAGTTATAATATCCAAGATAATAACAGACCACAGTGCCCGTGGTGAGGGCCCCCGACGTCTGGGGCTCCAGCAAGGACAAAGGCTTGCCTTTGAACTCTTGAAGGCCTCCGACGTCGGGGGCGTCATTCACGGGCACTGTGGACTAGTTTGATTTGCAAGAAGATTATGATTCAATGGTTCTAGAAGGATAAAAAAAAGTTTCAAGTCAGAATGATTGATGGATAAAGAAAATATAAAAAAGAAAAGAAAAAAAGAAACAAGAACTCAACACTTGTATCAGATTCATAGATGTGATTTTTTAACATACTGAATCAAGATATTTTTACGTTGACAAACCATGCCAAATTCAGATTCTAATTTTTTTCTAATCCTTGAAACATCAAAACCAGCACCACCGTGACCCAACAAAACGATTTTTTTTAAATTTTCATTAGGTGTAAACAAACTTGTATCAAAATATTCATCAAATGGTAAATAATCAATTTGTAAAAGACCACAAGTTTCAAAGATTGGTTTATTTAAATGTTCAAGTGAATGATTAGATTGAGCTTTAAATTTAATTTCTTTTAACTTTGGCATCTTGATCATTAATTCTTCTTCCGTTAAATTCATATTACAAATTTCGAGTGATTCTAATTGATTTGAAAGTGTTATGAGTAATGGTTTTAGTTTTCCTATTGTGAAAGGTCCTTCGATTGATAAAGATTTCAATGTAGGTTTAAATGATCCGATCAAATAATTCAATAATTTACTATCAACTTGACTATCGAATTGAAAATGAAAAACCGATGGAAATTGATACCCTAAATCTTTTGAAACGTTTTCTTCTATAAGATATAAATAATTTTGAAGTTGTAATGAACCTAAATTAGAGAATGAAGCAATAGAATGAAGTAAACTTTTTGTAATTTGATGGCATTGAAGACTTATATCACTAGAATTTGATGAAAATGATAAACTTGTTAAATTCTTCATTCTTTTGAAACTATTGATACATTCTTTTGGAATTTCTTCATATGAATTAAATTGAACCTTTAAACCAATTAACTGTTCACCAATTAATCCTAAAATCATAGCTAATTCTTTAAAATTCATCTTTTTATTCATGTTTCGATGAGATTGATTTCCTTGAACTCTATCATCAATGTTTCCAATCGAAAGTTCATAAATCGTAGGTTGTTGCAAACCATCTAAATTACTATACCATTCTATAAATCCATGTAATTGATTTGATCCTAAGATCCTAATTCTAGAAAATGTTTGGTTTCGCAAAAATTGATCCCATTGAAAACAAACTAATCTAAATCGATTTCCATCATAACAATCTTTCATTTGTTGACCATTGGCATTGATCTTCAATCTTTCTTCTTCAAGTTCTACTTCTATTGTCAAATCAATAATAATCAAAAGGATTTCAGGCGGTAGTAAAGAGATCATATTCTCCTTGAAATGGAATTGAAAGTTTGACGAAAAGTTTTATAAGTTCAAATTGTTCATTGAGAAGAAGTACATTTTATGATAAGAATCGAAGAAATCAAATGAGTTGAGGTGGTTTGATTTTTTCGAAGAATTCAAGACCCCTCGTAATGTCATGAGAGAAGGGTCTTTGAGGGTAATTCACGTTGTTAGCGCCACGGGCAAATTCCTTATTGGTCAGTTCATCAGGTAGTTTACAATTTCTTGATCGTTTGGAATCCGAACCAAGAGTGAGTGATAAGAACCGGCCCAGTCTATCGGGGAATCTCAAAAACAATGACACCTTTCCCTACCACCTTTTCCGATAGCGAGATTTTTCATAGAAGAGTGCAGTCTCAGATAGGTGCAGACCAATACAAGTCAGATCCACAGCGTCCATTTTACTATGGCACGTCGAAGTGCACACACGGAGAGGTTTGGGAAAAGAATGAAAAAAGTTTCAGGCAGTTTCTTTATCAGACTTCGGTGAAATTCCAGCACCCCTCTAATCTCAAGAAAGGATATCAGACTTCCTATGTCTAACAGTCTCACCACCTGAGGAACTCAAGAAGGGCTGTCTGTGCATGGTGCTAAAGATCATTTGAAGCTCGTATCCACTCTGTACGAGATATCTTTTGTGTGAGCACGTCGACCTGACACTTGAGTTTTTACACTGTGATCACAGATGTCGAAAAGGCAGAGTTCTACTCCATATAGACAATATAATAAAGCTGTCAAGCTATCTTCGCTGTGTGAACCACATCGCTTCAAATGCCTATTGCAACTCATAGATGAGATCCCTCCATGAATCTATTTGCTTCCTTACAATCACTCAAAAACTCATCACGAACCCCATCCATTCATCTCTTTCAATTTTCCATGTATCAAAACTAAAAACTCAAAACTCGATATCCAGACCCGACGAGCAAGAATATACAACTGCCATAAATATTTAAGTAGCTCGCGTGCTTTGTTTTTCATTCGATTGATGACTTCAAAACTAAAATTTCTTTTTAATTTTTCTTGAACTTGAAAAAATGTAATTTCTCAAACCCATCAAAACACCAAGCTATTTATTCAAAAAAAAGAAGTAGGTATAAAACCCATTGAGATTCTAAAAAAGTAGTAGAGAAAATGATCACAGGTTTTTTTTTTCTTTCATGAATTCACAACTGGTTTAGTTGGGTGTCCTATTTTTTTGTTTTCCAAAACACCAAACAAAAAAAATCAAATTTTCATCAGAAACATTCAAAATTCAATTTGCTTTTTTGGAAATCTTAAAAAAGTAGAAATCAATTCATCCTCACCGGCACATTCTTCAGCAGAGTAGTGATGAACTTCTTCTTTCTCTCGTCCTCTTAACCACCGAGGTGCAGTACCTTTGAAATAGACATCAGTCCACATATCCTAAAAAAACCATCCATTCCAATCAAATCTCACTCGAGTTAGTCAAACCATTTAAAAAAACAAATTCTAAGGTAGAATTCTTACCTTGGTTGGGTCAGGTTCAGGACTCTTCTTAGCTTCTTCAACAGCTTGATCGACTTCAATCTTAGCAGCCTTATCAATCTTTTTCAATTCAGCTTCTTCTACTACTCCAGCTTCCAAGATTCGATTCCTAAGACCAGAGATAGGATCATTGGTAGAACGCATATGTTGAATCTCTTCACGAGTTCGGTAAGTAGTACCTGGATCAGACATCGAATGTCCTCCATATCGATAAGTAATGAATTCTAAAAGCAATGGACCTTTTCCAGCGGTAGTCCATTCTTTAGCGTATTTGCAAGCATTATGAACGGATAAGACGTCCATTCCATTAACCTAAGATGTGGTAGCATCAGTATCATGTTCGCGATTCTGGACAACAAATTGATGTCGATGAATAAAAAAGGGCGAATTCTTGAGGACAAACTGACCTGTAGTCCAGGAATTTGATCACCACGAGTAAAGTATTTGGTGTTGCTACTTGATCGAGCTGAACTAGTACCCATTCCATACAAGTTGTTCTCACACACAAACACAGCCGGCAAGTTCCAAAGTTTAGCCATGTTGAAGGCCTCAAAGACTTGACCTTGATTAGATGCTCCATCACCATACATGATAAAGGTAGCATATTTGTTATCTTGATCCAAGTACTTTTGTGCTAAGGCGAGACCGGCTCCAACTGGAACTTGAGCACCTACGATCCCGTTTCCCTAAACAGATACGGAAAACATTAAGGACGAGCTGAAAAGGAAAGATGAGGTGTTGAAGAAAGAACCAACTCCGAAAAAGGTTTTGGTGAAGATGTGCATAGAGCCACCTTTACCTGATGACATACCATCCTGTCGACCTGAGATAAGAATGCAGGAGATGATTAAAGCTTGTCAAGATCTATTCTTTCAAGAAACGATTTTGGCCTTGACATAGAGATCAAACTGACCTAAGAGTTCAGCAATGACACCCTTGATGGTTCCACCTCTGAGAACAGCAAAAGGATGGCATCGGTAAGCAGTAATAAGTTTATCTTCAGTTTCGACTGTTTTGAAAGACACAAATTTCAGTTTAAATTTGATTTGATCTGCCTAAAGTTTTATAAGGAAAATGAATGAGATCCAACTAAACTGGCTGTCTCCATTCCAACACTAACGGCCTCTTGACCAATAGCAAGATGACAAAAACCTCTGATAAGCTTTTGTTTATAAAGCGCATCAGCTGCCATTTCCATTCTTCGCATGGTGACCATCAATCGATACATCTCTACTAATGCCGATTTAGTCATAGGTAATTCCAGTGAAGGTGGATCACATTTATAACTTTGATAGTATTCTATGATTAAAAAAGATCAAAGGAAGAAATGGTTTAGATTCCGATCAGGATTGGTATATAATCTTTGGGCATCAAGAGGTCATCAACTCAAGACGAACCTGGGTCTAAATTGATCGTAAAATGTTCCTCTGGATCGGATGGAACATTATCCTTGTTGATTTTTGAAGCATCAGTAGATGTTTGAATAGATCGAGTTTGATTTTGAATCAAGTTTGAAGTCAACACTCGTTGAGAATAGTTCCTCGAAGGAGTGATTTGAGATGAAGAGATCAGAGCAGGTATCCGTCGAGAAGTTAAGTTTGATAGCACACGACGAGATATAGAGCTGGATGACATTCTTGGTATCTTCCTTGGATGAGTTGAGAATGGTAAAGTTAAAATTTATTCTGGATGGGGTTGTTGCCTATCAAGTGAAGTGTACTGTGTCCCACTATCTCTTCAATTCAATCCTCAATCCTGATTCACGGCACTTCTCGGGCTTTTACATACACTGAGAATACCGGGTACATCACACTATAAGCATTCATACCATTTACTTTTACAAAAAGACTTTTACTGAGTAAAACTCAAACCAATCGATTGGGGTGGAATCTCAACATCTGCATCATCATCATTTGAACCATTCCATGATCACCCCTGAAGAAGAAGTTTCTCCGGTGCTCCCGTTGGATAGACCCGGGGAAGCATTTTGAAACCTTCCACCCACAAAACCTCTATGTATGATACCTTTTCGGCTTCAGATCAGCATATAGAAAGGTTCAGAAATAAATTGAAAGTCGAATAAATGTGATCTTTGTCTGATGACTTGTATGGATGAACACATGAAAATACCCATCTCCATCCATGCCCACAAGTTCGTCACCAAAGTCCATGAATTGCAAAACAGATGATGGCAGAACACGTCAGCCTACACATCACATTAAACTGCAAACCATGAATATTACTACAAAAAAGATGGTTATTCGATAATCTTACATTGCTTTGAAACAAAAAATGGCTTAATGTGACATGAAGAAAAGAAACTGTTACAAAAGAAACCAATCGAAAAAAAACTTCAATTCCAACTTGAAAAAACTTTTTTTCTTACAAATGAGATAATACGATTCTATATACACGAAGTTTAAAAAACCCCAAAGATTTCCATCCACTAAAGAAAAAAAAATACAAAAAATACGAAAAATTCAAACTACAAATCAATGAAATCAAATCAAACTCCAAAATCATTTCTTAATCCAAAACCCTTTAAAAGTTTTATATATCTCATTTGTTAAAGATTTCACACTTAATGGATAAAGTTCATGAGGAAATTGAGATTCAAGAGCACTTTGAACATATCTCAATAAGACTTCTTGGTTTTTCATCTTCATCTTCTTCTTCTTCTACTTCCTTTTGTTTAAATTTTCTTTCTTCTTCTTGTTTAATTTCTACTTGATTTTCTGTCATATAAAAGAAAACCCCAAATGAATGACAAAAATCATATCAAGGTTTAAGGAATGATAGAGAATGCTTACGGAATGTTCTTAAGATTAAGGGATCTGATTCTTCAGTTAAGATACTTCTAACATCATTTGTTAATTGATGATTGGAAACCTTAATCTTTTTACATTTATTAGTCTTTGTAAAAATCAATGAAACAGGAATTCCAAAAGCCTAGTAAACCAAACAACCAAATCATTCATTCAATTAAATCATTTGACTAGATTAAGAAATAGTAAAATCTCACTTTAAGTTCAGATCCCAACATTTTCACCATTCTCTTAACCCCATCTCTACCGAGTCCCATCAAATTAATCGAATCATCTTCATCCACTTTTCCACCATCACGCTTCTGTTCTGAAGCCCAAATATGTAAAACTCTACCTTTGAGTGAAATCAAGGTAGGTAAGAAATCTTGTGTATGTGATAAAGGTCCCAATAAAAGATCATTGAATGTATCAAATAAATATGATTCTGAACAAGATGAGATTGGGATTTGATGGTTTGGATAAAATGTAGTGGTAGGTGATGAGATATTTAATGATGAAGATGAACTATGATGGTTTAAATTCATGACTGATGATGAAGAAGAAGACAAAGGAGGAAATGCTAAAGAAGTCATTAGAAAAAGGTTTAGGTGGTTATTTATGGAGAAAGAAAGAAAAACTTACCATGATGAGTAGGAGAACTTAGCCCGATTGGATCATGAGAGGTGACTGATAATCTACGAGTTGATCTAGAAGGTGAAAGACTAGGTGAAAGACTAGGAGTAGGCGTCAAGGGAGGATTTAAATGAGATTGACGAATGAATTGAGGATGAATAACATGAATCAAAGACATCATATCAAAAGATTCTTCTCTAGCATAAGCCCTGATAGTGGAAATAGCATCATTACGTTGATCTAAATGATGAGTTGTATAAACCAATGGAATCAAAGAACCGGTGATGGTCGATTTTTGTGAATGAGGTTGATGTGAATCTGGTTGATGGATTGAAAAGAGTTGGTTTAAAGGTAATTGAGATTGATGTGATTTATTAATTTGAGATTTAAGTCTTTGCCATCTCAAGATAACTTCAGATAATTGAGAATGAGATGAGACTTGTAAAAAGACATGATAACCTACTTTAGCGAATTCTAAAGCTAAATTAAGGGCTAATGGATGATGATCACAATTATTAGTGATTAAGATTGAAGCTCTTGAATTAGAATAAGATGAAAGTTTTGAATGTGGTGATGATGGTTGTTGTTGTTGATTTGAAGAAGATAACAAATGATAAGAATCAAATGGTTTAGTTGTACTTGAGATTGGAAATGGTTCACCAAAGATAAACTTGAGTTGAATTAAATAAAATAAAAAATTCAAAAACTGATGACAAGAAATCGAATAAATGATTTCTACTCGATTTGAAAGTTGATGGAATTTCAAAGTGAATTCATCAATCAAGGATCCAATCAAGTTCAGATAAAGATGTAGTAAGAAATCCAATGGGAATGGTAAGATCAAGATTAAGATTTCAAAGTAAACTAAATGTGATGATGAAGTGGATGATCGAAGTGATGAATATTGTGAAGTTAATGCCATGATGGAGTGTAGAAGCAAAGATTTGGTTTTAAAGAAAACTTTTTTTAAAATCGAATGGGAATGGGAATAGGATTGAGTGAGATGAGGACCAACTGAATTTGCAAAACGAAGAAATAAGAAAGATTACAAATGCGCACCAACAGTTCATTGAACATTCAGGGTCCATCAGTCAATTTAAATTTCTCACTCAATCGATGATCAGCTCATCCAATCCATTTCACACTTTCAACCAATCCATACTCGATTCATCAACTTGACTTTCGGATTCCCTCGATCGGCTTTCTCCTATTGTGACCCACTCGATCTGAAACTCTTGACAATCATCCAAACAGTTCTCTTATCATCAAATCACTTCAACATCAAACCTTTAATCATGATTAAACTCTTGCTCAATTTTCACAAATAAAATCATTCCTCCAAACCTATATGATAATGAAAATGATATGTTATAAAATGAAATAAATCTCAAAAATGAAAAAGAAAAATTACAAAACTTGCTAAAAACTTGAAATGATACCATATAATTCACCTAAACAATCAGAAACATCAAGCATTAAGTTTAGAAGCTTCTTCTTCCCATAACTTGGCTAATTCTTCTGCTCTTTTCTTTTCTAAATCTACCATTCTTTCATCCCTATTAGATAATCCTCTACCATCGATTCTTGAATCACCTCCTTCTACTCCAATCATGGCTCTTGGAGTTTTAGCTTCAATCACATAATGATTATCACACTTTACCCAAAAGGAAGAAGAAAGATCATTTTGAGTTCAGTTAGTTTTCTTTTGTGGGTTTTAGAAATAGTTGACAAAACAAATAGTTGACAAACATGTGGACAATATTCATCTGCATCTTCGAAATCTTCAATTGGTTTTCTAAAGACTTTTTTACACGATTTACATGCTAATGAAAGTTCAGTAGTTTTGGCTAAACGATGTCCTAATTTTTCATCATCATGACATTGTGGACACTACAGAAAAAAAATCAAAACAAGTTGATTAATTAATGATGGATTAGATTTTCACAAAAAAAACGAAAGAAACTTTTTTTTTTCAACATACTTACATCGTACCATCTTTGACAACAAGGAGCACGTATAGAAACCTACCGAAAGAAAAAAAATTAAATAATCCGATCGATTTTAATCGGTTACAAATAAGAAAATAAAATTGATTGAAGGGATCGATCATACTTACTTGAGCATTAAGTATATGTTTACACATGATTGATCGATGCAATCCTTCTTGGATAAATAAAGGAATCCTAAATAAAAACTTCGTGAAGTTTATTCAGGTTTTACAATTTAAAGGCAGTCACAGGTTACGATCGGGTACGGTACCGGGAACCGGATCACTCATCTCGGGTCAATCATTCATTCAAAACTTGGAAATCTCAACGTTTCGGAGGACTCCATGCAACGGTCAACGTCATGGATGTAGTCCTCCGATACAATCTCAATCAAATTACGTTCTTCCCCCTTCCACCAAATCCATTATGTCTATGGAGGGGGCTTGCTACCCATGATCCCAATAGCTATCAGAGAGATTCTGGTAGGCTCTTACAGGGTACCAAGTGTGGTTGATTGGAAAACAAGTGTCAAAAACACAACCCACTGCTAAGTTTTTCCATTGATGGATAGGACCATATGGGGTAGTACAAAGGATTTCCAACAACACTTACAAACTTTTATTGCCAAAGGGAATGCAAGATATTCACCAGGTCTTTCATACTAGCTTATTGAGAGAATTCAAGAAAAGTGAACTTGAAGGTCAAACAGAAGATCCACCTCCACCATTAATTATTCAAGGAAGTGAAGAATATGGAATTAATGAAGTATCAAACAAACAAAAAACACAAAGGGGAAATTGAATACTTTGTGAGCTGGAAAGGGTATGAAGCAAACCACAACTCATGGCACCAGTGACCCACAGGAACCTGAAACCAATTTGGCAAATGCAAGTTAAGGAATTTAATGATAAATACCCAATGGCAGAACAGAGATACTTCAGGACACAAAGAAGATAAGTGAGGGTGAAGGTTTTCTCCCAATGGGTTCTTGATGCTATCCTGTGAAAGGATACATGACCTGTCAAGAGGAGGTTGAGGTATAAGGGGGGGAGTGGTGTTATGAGCCTAGTACTGGGTATATGATTACACTGTGTCACCCACGTTGTACATACCCCAGTGCTCAGGGCCTTTTACATTGTTCTCTTCTTTACATTGCAATCTCATAATCACACAACTAGCATCTTGGCTCTACTCTTCAATCCTGGTCTTAACAGGACCCAGGAAAGCTCTTATTGGGGTTTATGTTGAGAATCCCATTGTAAAACAACATGAATTCAGGTCAGATCCAAAAAAAATCAAATCCCCACCATTTTTTGGCACAAACCTCACCAAGACAAATGATAAGGGGGTGGGCCCTGTGGGTGCACAATCACGGGGTGGGCGTATTGTGGGCAGTGAGAGAGGCTATTTTGGGTGAGACAAATGGCTGTGGGTCTTCATAGGTTTTGATGTGTAATAATAGAAGTGATTTTGAAAAAATAAGAAAGCAAACTCATTGGGAGAGTTACTAACTTAACACAAGTCCCAAACTCGCAGGGGCTTTCTTACCTTTGAAGCTCGGTGCCCTGGAGAGGGACTTGGGACTTATCAGCTACTTTTGGTGTACCAGCAGGGACCCAAAAAGGCTCTGCTCTTTTACAGCCTGGTATCTTCTGTAGTTGATACAATATAGATTTTCTGAGGAGAGCAAAATCTTCAGAACATTTAGACAAACAACTTTGGTTTTTGAACGAAGTTCACTGCTCAATTATTAATTCTAATGCAAGAGAAATAATTTAGGTCCTTTTTAAATTTTGTTTCCAAAATACAGTCACCAAACCACAAATCTCAAAATCTTTCTCTCTTTCTTGAGAAAACTCAGAGCAAGATATGTCAAATCTGAATAGACAGATCTGATGATAATGGGCACAGGTAGCTCCAGTTCAAATGGGCAAGGTGGTTGATTGAGAGGAAGTGGGAGCTTTTGCGGTTTGAAAAGACCTCCAAGCCAAACTTGAATTTTGAACCCCCTGCTGGCTCACCAGGGAAGCCCGATAAGTCATAAGTCCCTCTCCAGACACCCGAGCTCGCGAGGAAAAAGTGTCTGGGTCACAGAGGGACTTAGTTAAGTTAGGGAGAGTTATAACTTCTAGTAACCCAACAACTTATTTCTTTTATGATTATGATGTCACTTTTGTCAACCTTTTGCCCAAAATTGAGCCAAAGAACTGACATTTGCCAGTACAGACATTTGGCCAAACATGACAAATTCCAATGTTTTTGTCACAAACATAGGTAAAATCCAAGGCCAAATCCCAACATTTCTTGGCACAAATCCCAATAGGAGCTTTCCTGGGTCCAATGATTCACTGAACCTCGAGCTAAAATGCATACAATAAAGGCCTGTATTAGAAGCTTCTTGTTCAGTTGGGTGCATCATTCAGCTGATGCATGGTTGTGTTTGGTCTTTAATTTGACGTGAACCTTTGAGAAAAACAAAATAAAAAAGTTGTGACAAGGCATCAATTTGTGGAATAGATGCTAATAGATGTACAAGGTTTGAAGGAGTCGCGCATATAATCAGAAATGACGTAATGTGTGTATGCTCAAATTTGAAACGGTCATAACGGTCATCAACTTCAACGCCACCATTTTACCATCTTGTCGCTTCAGGTAACTCTTTACCAGATCCAATTCCATCATGACAACAAATCAACAAGAACCCATCTCGTCTTCAATCATTCAATCAGTTCCATCTCAACCATCAACTCATCATCAACATCATGATCAATACTCTGGTACAATTTATGATCCAGATGCTGATCTCATCGTTAGTTTTCAATATTCACTTTTTCTTTCAAAATACGCCAATACTGATTTGAAGTGTTTCTTTCAAATCAGCCTGTTCAACAAGATGACCTTATTCGACTCAAGATCTTTATCCCATTCGCTACCCTAAGCGCTCTGTTTGCAAACCTTGTCTCAGCTATAATCATCAAACCATCCAGTAAATTACATCTCTTTCTTTCTTTCTCAAATCATGAATTCCTTCCACTCATTTGAATTTCTCAAACAGTGGGTGAAATCAATAATCGATACTATACACTTGTCACTCCCGATCCGATCTTCATTGGACTTTATTGGATTGTTCTTTTTACTCTTCTCGTCGTTCTTACTTTTATGATCGTCTTTACTTCTAATCAAAGATATCGTACTGAACAAACTAAACAACTATTTGTGAACGCTCTGGGATTTCGATACGTTCTTGCACTCTTTTGTTTCACACTTTGGCCCTTTTTCTGGGTACGCTATTCGAATCCACTTGACAAAGGCGTGTGACTGATCGATCTTTGTTTATAATCTTATTAGGCAGGTCGATTGATGAGCGTTGCAGCAGCTCTTTTGATTATAATCTTTGGACTCTTACTCTCAATACATTTCTCATTACTTAGGAACTTTCCTACTTCTGCTCTTAAAAGGCCATTTAGTTTCTTATTTGTTCATTTACCGCTGCGTCTTTTCTTGCTGGTTCTTTGGCAAGTCGATATACTCCAAACTGTTTTGATTGCTTTGGGTTGGTATAAGATTAGACCTGATGGAGAATGGGAAGCACATCATCGTGCGCATGTTTGGGTACGTCTTTCCATTAACATTTTAACTTGTGTTTTAGTCCAGAAGTTCTTATACATATGTTTCTTTACCTTTTTATACAGATTGTCTTTGGACTTATCATTGCAATTGGAGTGATCAATTCGCTTGTGACCCTCTTAATGGAAGATGTGATATGGACCATTGGATCAATTTGGCTCACAGCAGGTGTAATAAGAGGTGGAGGTGGTAGAATGGGAAAATTAGGAGAAGAACCTTTATTAGCTGGAACCATGATTGGATTAGCAGCACTTCAATTGCTTTGTTTGGCTGGTACAATTGGTGCTAAGATTGGTAGGGTTAGAAAACTTAGAAGAGAACAAGCTATTCAATTACCTGTTGATGATGATCCATCTGTTATTGAAGGATAGTTATTTTCTTCTTCTTTTTCTCAATCAAGTTTTGTATCATTATTCTCAAAAGCTCAGTTACCATTATTTCTTTTATTTTTTTAAGTTATCATCATTAGCATCATTTGAAATTTCTCCTCATTGTTTTCTCTTCAGACTTATTCATATAAAAAGTTGAATATCCAAGCAAGCCCCCTTCAAATTTCTGCCAGTATCTAAGCTACAAATCTGTGTTTTAAGGTTGAGGTGCCACACAGGAATTTAACACATACTGATTCTGAGTTTCTGAAGATCATTTGATCTAAGATACCCCTGGGATGTACTGATGTATGGAACTCTAGATGAACCAATCTGTGCTGCCAATTAACTTATGCTGCACTACAATTCCAAAGCTGTGAGAGCAATTTTTTTATCCCATACAAGTCACCTGATTCAGATTGTACTTACTGAGCACTGTCTGCCGCGTTGGAAAATCTACAAGCAATGTTCTCCATACAACTCAAACACTTTATGTGTACATTCCACAGCTGTTCTTGGTCTTCCCACGTTTATGCTTTTAATATACTGAAGGAACCATTGGTTTTGAGTATAAGTTCAAATGCAGAGTGCCAGCATAAAAAATAGCCTTTTACACCTATATTCTTTCCAATCTATTCAACAGTTGCTCCTTGCATGTATGATTTTCATATTCTAAAGTAACCTTTGAACTTGCATTAAAAAGAGCAATACTATAGAACTTTCAGATCAGGTCTTTGATCGAGCGCCATCAAAAAGTGCCTTCAGCATCAGGTTAGCAGGAAACGTGTGGATTGCAACTTAGAACAAAACATGAATACGCCAACAGGCAGAGCCATGAAGATACTCGAACAAAAGTTGGGTGTGAAAGATCGCTTGCAAAAGAACAAAAGAGAGCAAATGTAAAGAGGAATACTGGTGACCAGAACAACTAATGACGTCGAAGTATCGCAGTGCACTGGGGTTTTAAGCGAAGGCATCTATGCAAAGTTTGCCGTCTCTCAAGAATCTACCCACCAACCCAAACCTTTGAAACCCTTCGTTAATGGTATCCCAAATTCAAGTACCAGTTCATGATTTGCGATTGGTAAACTACCGTGCTTGATGTAGGCCACACAGCAGGAGGGAAGCCTTATTCTAAGCAAAATCACTGGGACATTGTTCGAACTTGTCCATGCACATGGTATCCAAATATTTCTCTGAGATGCAGTCGCTGCTGTTATATCAAGGATCTTTGGTCAATGTCAACTTCTTACTTCGACACAGATAAGATATGATAAGAAGATGAAATGGTCTTCAGGAGTAAGCTACAGCTGGGTAACTCTCAGGGGCCTTCAGCGTTAGAGCTCGTGATCGCTGAAACAGGGCTCATTCATAACATCGAGTGGTGATATTATTCTTTATCATTGACACGAGGTATTCAAATGAAGCAAGAAACTTCTTGAGAAGGTCTAGAGGACCAATTTACCTGCTTCAGAGTGTATATCTAGCGTTTTCCCATCTCAGAAGCCTTTATTGCGATGGGGAGGCATTCTGAGGATTTGATAAGCCTGGTCCGTTGAGAGAAGGAGCTGAAGATGAAGGAATTGTAATTGGTTTCTCAGGTTGACTAGATGTGGAACCAAACTTGAGTTCGTCCCAAGTCTTAAGTAACCGCATTCGAATCCCTTCCCAATTATCAAGTGCTGGACGAACATCGAGATAGAAAGCCAAATTAGGTGGAGGTGATGATGATGTAGCCGATGTGCCAGCTTCAGGATTGTATGTTCGACCGGGATAAAAATCGATCACGTATCGCATCCTTTCTTCGGTAGGTCGGACTACTTCCCAATCATGTCGATCGAAAGGAGGCTGATACCTGCTCAAATTCACAAGAACGCCCCAAAACGGGGTCAAAGAAGGTTGATTAAAAATAACTGATGATCGTGGTCAAGATAGAAAAAGAATCATAAGTTTTTTACCCAGAAAGAACTTTCATCCAAGCACGCGGACTACGATCATTTGGTCTTCCACGAAAACTACATAACATCGGACCAGATTTTCCAGATCTTGGCCATCGATCAAATGCACCTTGGCCATAATTAGCTTCCCATTCTAAAACTTGTTGCCAAACCCGTTCATTGACCGCATTATGAATTGGTACTACTGTATACATATCATTGACTTCTGGAGAATGTTGTTTCTTTCTTGCTAGAGCAGAATAAAATTGAGCTGGTGATGGATAAACCCAATTGGCTTGTTCTTCACTATCATCTCGGTATCGTGGGATTGAAGAAACTTCTCGATCAGTAGGTAACTGGGTAGGGTGATCACGCGGAGGTGAGGTTTTTGATGATGAATCGTGACCAAGAGGGCAAGTCGCAGGCTGGGAAGAGCTAGTTGAGCTTGAAGTTCCAAATGGCCACATTTTTAAGAAAGTGGTCTGAAAGTCTATAGGATTGATCGATACTTGGCTGTTTCTTGTCGCATCTCCGAAAGATAAAAAGTCGAAACCTATTTTAACGGATATCTAAATCGTAGAGCTATGTGGCCGGGCGGGGCTACCTCGGGGCCGGGGGACACCTGTTGCGTCAACAACAGGCCATGCTTTCCGGAAGCTTGGGAGGAACATCCAATCTTCCCTGTGGCTTGACACATCCAGTTTTGGTCAGAATTGGAGGAAGAGGTGCTCAAAATGTGCGCTCTTTAAATCTCAAGAATTTCATTTCTTAACCTACTCTGTTACAGTACTAGCTTAGCACAAGCCCCCATGGAATTAGTGGCCCTATGTTCAACCAACTCCAAGTCCTATGTACCTCTGCCACTCTCAAGGAGGGACTTGTATGGGTTGAGCCACACACCTGAAGCTGAGCATCCACTGATCAATAATTTTTTTTTCTGAGTTGAGTCAATAGCAGGATACCTTTTGTTTTACCTTCAATTGACATCTGTTTAATTTGATAACTGATGTTCCAGTCTTGATTTCTAGAATGCTGATTCTTATTTGTATCTTTCTTTGCATGCATCAAATATGAGACTGAGTTTTGCTTTATATTAATCCTTGCAACTCAGTCTGTAATGTAAATAAAATTGTTTCTTTGAACCACACAAATTTCAACGGATCTCAAAAGCTGACAAAGTCTATGTGATCTTATATACATTTCACTTCCCTGCACAAACAGCAACATGTAGGAATGATTGACATCCATCTTTCAAGAATATATGCTGTTCCATGACAGACCAGATGTAAGGAAATTCTCTCCATTGGCCCATTGAGCTTATAATTGAGGTCTTAGAGATCAAAATATGTTAGCTTAAAGGTCCTACACTATGAAATTGATACATACCAGGTATTTGTCAGGCTTCATTGCAGGCATAACAGGACACTGAGTCCTGTGATATTCAATAGCTTTGACCACTTCAGAAGCTACCCACATTGGGCTGTCTCCCCTCCAATCCAGAATGAAGATGATATATCTTTGGTTAGGTATGTTGCAAAATGGATCTTCACCTGCATGCTACAAGTGCCCCTCCAAATAGTATCTGTTGGGGTGATTTCTTTCTTGTGGTTTATATGATGTCTTATAATGCTGGGGTAGAAATCCTACACAGTGTAGCGTAGGCTGAGCCAGAGAGGGGATGAAGTACAACTGGAGAGAAAGGAAGTACAACTGGTCCAGTAAGCTGCCCTCAACCTTTAGAAAGCTCTAAGTTCAAAGTGGAGGGTACAATTGAAAACCCCAATTTTTCTTCCTACCCACAACCAAAACCTGCAATAAGATTATGTTATCCTTTCTACTGATGAAATCAGTACCAAACCTGGTCCAAAAAAGCTCAGACTAGTCAAAAGACTGTACTGAGTGATCACCAAGGTCCTTAGACACTAAAAGTGCTTAAGCTATGAAGAAAGTCTAAAAGAACACTACACAAGAAGTTGATAATGTTTCACAGTGCAATTTCTTTCTTCCAACACTAAGTAAGATCTTTTAAGAGAACTAAAGAACTAAAATAAAAATAAAAATATTTTGGTTGATAGAAGTAGAAGTTAACTGAACTCCCTCAGACTGCTTTAATATACAAAACATTAATCTACTAATTCTATAGTAAAAAAACTACTCAATTATCTTCAAAACTTGAGAAGAAATGCAGAAAACCACTGCAACACTTTCACAAACAGACCTTTCACAGGTCCAGATCTCACATCTGAAGTCTTTAAAACCAAGATTTAATAAAACAATAACACTTTTACATACATGATGAAGTATAATAAACTATATATTTATGGTGGGGAAATACAGGAGCAGTTTTGTACAGTTTTATGCTGTCATATGACATCAAAACTCAAACCATACCGCAGTGAAGTGGATTACGGTCTAGCCTTAAAACCACACCAAATCGTAGTGTAGTTAAGGGTATTCTAAGCCCAATGTTCGGACTACGGTACGGTTACCCCGTAGTGAACCGCACCGTAGCCACCGTAGTCACCGTAGGCAACGCTTACGCAGTGCATAGGCACAAAGAAAAAAGATTCACTCAAATGTAATTAAAAAATAGTATGAAGAGATAAAAGACTTGATGTGGAAAGGGAAAGAGGCACATTCAAAGAAAGAAAATTAAAAAAAGGAAGAACAATTAAATGATTTAAAAATATATCTACACAAATTGAAATAATAGTAACCATACGTAATCAACAGAGCTCAAATTTCTTTGTTCTTCTTTTTCCCCTCGTGCAATTCATGATCTAGAAGGTAAGTGACCGCGTCCTGAAACTTACCAGCAGGCACGGCCTTGCCCTTCAACCATTCTCGGCAAGCAACAGCCTGTGAGATGGTCGAAGGTTTCATTGATCCTTGGCTTGAGATGGCGATGTCGGCAGCGGAAGAAAAGGTACGCTCAACCGCGCACAAAGTTGCAGGGAGAGAGAGGTAATCCCGAGCCATAGTTGCCAAGACTGGGAAAATCTTTGCATTGCTCTATGTAGCATACAGTTTCTAAATTAGTGAAGAGTAAGATAATGCTAGTGTGAAGTAAGGAAGGGTACCCATGGCCCACCAGTCAAGCACACTGGTCCCTTTGCCAATCGGATGAGCACCTTCAAGGTAGCGTCGAAGTTCAAGTTGAGCATCCTGAACAGTCTCTGTTGCCGGTGCAGCTGGAAACATATTATCCTCGTCATTGTCACTTTCTTCAGGTTGATTTTCCAAAACAACTTGGACTGAAGGAGCTCGTGGTTTGGGCATGTTGTCAGAGTACTCTGAAAAAATGGTATCTAGTGAGTATTTTGCTTGATCTGCCACATCCGGGTAAAACTTGTTGAGGTAGTTCATTCTGTGTCGTGGTTTGAGGATAGTGGCGATCTGGACAACCTCCGTTGCGGCGGCCTCGTCAACGTAAGCTTTGAGATGTTTCAGCATCTCAGTGATCATTATGTTGAGGCTAGGAAAGGCGCTGCTTTGTTGGAGGACTTGCAGTTTGTTCTGTACCTTGCAATATTCCGACAACACCTTGCATCCTGAGGTAAAATTGCCCTCCATGCGTTTGGTTGCACGCTCAAACACCTACCACATGAATTGATCAATCAAAAGTTTTCATCAAGAAACATTGGAATGGAATACGCACCTCCAAAACTTCGTTCACTGAACAAACAGCATTCCATTCCTCCTCGGAGATGGTTAAAACTCGGAAGAACCGATTGGTTTTCGAATCAGTGTGTAACATGCTATTAATAATCTGCCACCAGGTAATAGGATATGAGTGAATTAGCAAAATTAACTTATATATATGATTAGTTAAGTTGTAACTTACCTCATATCCAGCAGTTGCACACCTTCTACTATCAACTTTAGCATTCCAGCGCACTCCCCAACCATGGATGATACTTTTCAGTCCTTGGGCCTTCGCTCGTGCATTGAACCATTGTCGACACAATGAGCTCGAACATATCAATGTAACAACCTTGTCACACTGCAAGAAATTCAAAGAGAAATGTCAGGCGCCAGTTGAAATATGAAAATCAAATACTGACTCACCTTTAACAAAGCCCGTTTGACCAGTTCTGTAGTGTCAACAGGTTCCTCATTGACACAATCATCATCTTTGCAATCGGCATTTGCAGTGTTGGGTTCCAATCCCGCATCATCCTCATCTGAAGAAGATTGGACATCAACGCCTTCCTCTCCAGTATTGAGGACCAAGGTAGGAACCGACACCGTGGCCCCCGATCGGGTGGTGGGTTTGACATGACCCGCTGAAATATTAAGGGTCTTGAGGCCATGCTTGACAACCAGAGCGATTTTGTGACAGTAGCATCGCATATGATTTTCCGACAAATTCCAAAAGACCGAGTCGCTAGCGTTCAAGAACATCTTTTGGAGTTCGTCGGCCATGGTCTTATTGTTGGCACCCGAGTCAGTAGTCTGTGCTAATACCTGTAAAATTGCAGGAGATGTCAGTATTGAACACGAGATTTGAAAACAATAAATAAAACCGATAAAATGAAATATTGAAAAAGATGAAATTAAATATGGACCTTTCTATGAAGTCCGTGCTTGATCAAAAACTTCCCGACTGGTCTGGCAAGCAAAGCTCCACAATGGTGCCATGTTGCTAACTTCAAAGTTAGGTGGCTGGTTTGATATTTCCAATCTGAATCGATCCAAGTTGCGGTTACTCCTATAAAAGCCAGACGATCGCCTTTTGTTGTCCATCCGTCGTGGACAAGGCAAATCTTGCTTTTATTATCCTGCAGTGTACAAACTCAAGTTAGTTAAATGAATGATATTTTATAAATGGTTAGATGTTGTGTATTTACTTTGATTTTGCTGATCAGCTGGTTGTGTAAAGAGAAATGAAGTTCCTTTGCAGTTGTGGCTGCCCACGTAGAACTCCTGAGATTGGCCTTTGCGTGCGTTAGGTGAAATGCTGCACAGAGCGTCGGATCTTGAAATCTGACCCATGGGAGGGCATGACGAAGGACCCAAATCCCCAGAAGGACATTCAGGATGTCCACGCTGAATGGAGGTCAAGTGATGAAGGAATTCATGAGTCCTGCTGAGCCTTTGGTGCCTGAAGTTGCTGAAGAGTCCTCGCGTGCCTTCATACGTTCTTGATAGGTCGGTGGAAGTCCATGTCGTTTCTCCCTCATGGCAATGGTGCGCCCTTCACAAGGTTCCCGGTTCTTGTAGCCATCTCGATGACCATAAAGGTTACTATTGCCATCTGTACCGCGGTTGAGAGTTTCAGGACAGTATTTACATTCGTAACCTCGTAGAACACCTATGGGCTGTCATTAAGATCAAGAAGTCAGTTGACATCACGTTCAGTTTGGATAAACAACAAATGAAACCTACATTGTCTTTCAACTGTACTGACACTGGTTTGTAATACGACAACAGGTGAGTAACACCAGAGCTTGTAGTTTTTTTGAAAGGCTTGATAACTTGTCGTTCGGGGCTGTTTTGATCAATATCGATG